TGAGACAGTGTTTTGCTATGTAGCTCAGGCTGGCCTTGAATCCATGGTGATCCTCCTGCCTCAGCTTCCCAAATACTGGGATTGTAGGTGTGTGCCACCTCACCTGGCATGTTGTTGATTTTGTTCCTACTAATGTATCCTTAATCAACGAGCAGCATACAGAAGCAAGTGGTATCTGAGAGCCACGCAGTTAGCTGCTTGCTTTGGGGGCGTGACTTTGGTCTGAAATGGCGGTCCCATCAGCTTACTTGGGGTGCAAAAGAGGCTATGCTGCCAGGGTTTGATTCAGTGAGCCCCGGAGCACCCCCCGCCCTGCAGTGCTGCAGACACTTCGGTGCCCAGCTTGCCAGTGCTCAACCAGGGCTCGGTCAGTACCCTCCTTGTGCTGCACGGACACCCACGCCTGCCTGTGGAAGGGGCACTGATTTAACCCCAGCCTGTGGCTGACGGACGAGGACAGCCAGGCCACAGAAGGATGAGGGAGGCCAGAATGCGATTCCTCGTGGAAGTGGAACGGTTCCAAATCTCAGCATAGGAGAAGCTGCCTTGGGTGCATCTCCCAGAACAGCCTCTGGCAGCCCTGGCTGCGAGGAGCAGGGAGCAGCTGAGCCAAGTGTTTTTCTGCCGTCGCAGACACTGGGAGAGGAAATCCAAAGCCTGGGAGCCTTTTGGGTGGGGGGCAGCAGGCGTGTGGGGGTTCGCTTGCTTCCGCCCTCCTGCACTGGGTCTGCTCCTCAGAGCCACCTCTGACCCTCGCCTCCTGAGCCAAGTCGGGAGGCAGGTGCCCAAACCACAGTGAATCCAGACCGGCCTGTGTGCGCCTCCTCGCTGGGCCGCGCCATCTCCGCTGCATTTCCAAGTTCTTCTCACCCACCTGGGCAGTGGGACGGCATGGGGGGGCCACAATCCGGGTGCAAACACGTGCAGAGTAGGGCGCAGGGCACACACCTGTCATCTTGGCAACCAGGAGGTTGAATCAGGAGGATTCTAGGCCAGCCTGGGCTCCATAGTGAGTTCAAGGCCAGCTCAGACTACATAGTGAGACTGTCTCAAACACACACACACACACACACACACACACACACACACACACACACGGAAGAGATGTTCAGATTTACCCAGGGCCTCCCCATCTGAACACCAGTGCAGGACTCTCAGAGGTCCTGGGATCATGGAATATGGTGCTGTGTAAACCTCAGCCCCACAAAGGCAATAGAGTCCCCAAGCTGCTCCCTGGTCCAGCCTGGTGACTTCCTGCAGGGGAAATAACCTCTTGTTGTTCCACTGCTTCGGTCAGTACCGCTCACTTGGTCTGTTAACCGAGTTTCCCAGGGCCATGGCGCATGCTGTCGCTATCAGGCTGGGAGGGAGGGGTGGAGACTTCAGCGTCCCTGCAGACCTGTGCAGTGGTCCCATCCGGTCACCGTCCTTCCTCTGCATGGTCACCCTGCAGTCGGGCAGCAGCCTGTGTGAACCTCCCCTCTTGGTTCCCCGACTGAGGCAGGGCGTCTCCTTCCTGCTGATAGCATGACACGGGAGGACTCTGTCTCTGCAGTGTTGGCCCTGCACACCCCCTCACCAACATGGTCACCGGCCTTACACATTCCCTTGGCGCGGACATGCCCCTCGTGCCCACACGTGCGTGCACACTCACACCCACGCCTCGAGTCGTCCCTGGCGTTGGAGGCGGTAGTGTGCTACTTAGGAGTCTGCTCCCATGAGCTGAGGACCCCCGGGCTGCAGGAGCTGGTGCCTGGCTGGGAGTCTCTGGTCCACAATTTGGGCAGCACTTCAGCCTCAGGGAACCTTTGCCCTGCCCCACTTCCCTGGCAGCTCACACCGGTACTGATTTTCAGAAATGCTACACGTGTCCACTGCAAAACCCGTGATCCCACCAACTGTGATCTCTGTGCTCAGGAAGAGGTGTGCAAAAAACAGTAAGTTAGCTGGGTGCAGTGGCTCACACCTGTCTGTCATCCAGTACCCTGGAGGCTGAGGCAGGAGGATTCCCGAAAGTTCAGAGCCAGCCAGGACTACATACTGAGTTTAAGGCCAGCCTGAGTTACATGCAAGATCTTGTCTCAAAAAACAAACAAAACCCACTCAAAAGCAGTGTTCCCTGGAATCATGAGCCATGCACAACAGACCTAGTTGTAAAGTTAAAGGGTTTCCACAAAATTTCAGGTAGGGAAGAGCAGAGGCCTTTAGGAGATGGTGAGGACCTCAAGGAGAACCGAAGACAGATGCATTTTGGTCACTGCGAGGTCACCTTGCCCATACCCAGATCCTTCTGCTGATGAACAGGCCCCCTGTGGAGCAGCCCCTGGTCCGGGCTTGGGGCACAGAGGGGCAGATGTGGAGCTGGGGCCGAGTGACTTCCAGGACCTCGCTAACCTGCAGGCACAGGCAAGTCCCCTTGCAAATCGACTGCTTCCCGCTCAACAGGGCGTCCCCAAGCCTGACAGAGCAGCCTCAGCGTCTCACTCTGTACACTCTGGGAGATGAGCTCCGAGTGCAGGAGGGGCGTCTGGAGGAGCCACAGAGTGATTAGCATGGAAATGAGAATCTCTCCCCACTCTGTATATCCAGTCTGCAGCTTAAAGCAGGCTGAGTCTTGGCTGGGGAATCCCACCCTCCGCAGAGAAGGCTGCAGACCGGGCTCCAGAGGGTGGTGAACGTGAATATCTGAAGGAGCCAGGCCAGACCAGGGCTGGACCTCCAGCACCAGCTAGTCCACCGGATTCCCTGGAAGTCACACTGTGATGGTCAGCAAGGCAGGACGGTCACGCACACGGCCCTGTTTTCCTGAGTGACCAAGTGTGGGTTTTCATCCCTAGCCTTCTCGGCCAGGGAGGGTACCATCCAAGGAAATATAGCTGTTCCTGTCTTCCGGTTTATGGGTCTGGGACCCAGCGGAGCTGATTCACCTTCATGCACTGCCGTGCGTCATCCTAAGGTGGGGGCTGATGCCTACACTGGTGGGCAGGAGAGGAACCCGCAGCTTCTCGAGGCTCTAAGAGCATCGTGAGATCACTGTAGCACAGATAGCACACTGTGTGCTGTGTCTGGCTTTGTGGGCCCCTTTTCTCTCTCTTTTTTGTCTTTGAGACAGGCTCTCAGGCTGGCCTGGAACTGGTGGAGATCTTCCTGCTTCAGCCTCTGGAGCGTTGGGATCATTAGCACACACTTTCAAGCCGGGCTCCTTTTCTTCTATCTGAGCCTAGCCTTGGTACATGAGAGGCAACACAAAGGTGGACGATGAGCAGATATTTGGGGGAGCTTGTTTGGCATCCCTGTGTGGCATGGACCTCAGATGCCCCTGGCTGTGTGACCCCTCAGGCTCTCTGGAAATGTGTTGAGTTGTTTGGCCAACTGGGTCCCTTTGTGTGCTGTCTGGAGGCTTGGCTGTTGGAGGCTTGGACAGGGAGGAGGCAGTCACTCGGAGTGCTAAGGGGTCCTGCTCCTCCCAGATGGCCCGGAGTCATGCTGTCTCATCTTCAGAGATCCCTGTGCCCACAGGGGCTACTTAGGGCGGTCCGTGTGTCCTGCCCTGCTGGACCCAAGTGCGGGAGGGCGGCCAGGCATGAGAAATAACTTGGAGGGGCAGGTCTTCTCCCACCAACAGCCATTGTGCTGAGAGCCGCAGATTCTGGGACAAGTCTGGTTCCCAGCAGCGCTCCTGCTATGAACGACTCGGAGGACAGGATGATTCCTGATGGCCGGGAAGTATCGGGGGCCCGAGCTTCTGCTTCGGATTATGGGGATTGATTAATACGTCGCTATTCTCAGCCTCCATACAAACATCCTTTGTATTGATCTCAGCGAGATGTACTGACTGAAGAAATATGCCGATTTCTGCCAGCGAGCCGAATGGTATTTTTAACCTACTTTAAAATATGTGTTGTTTCCTATGGTTTTTAAAACTCTGGAGTTGATTATGAAAGCAATTTCAATTTTTTAAAATTCTTCTTTCCAAAGAATGAATATATATATATATTTAACTATTAAATACAGAGTTTGATGGAGGGGATGACTGTAATTTTAAGCTTATAAATTAAGATTAAAAAGAGTGTGGTTTTGGTTTTTGGCATATGTATGCCATTACATTGGAGATTACTACTACAAAGGAAATTTGATTTTCTTCTGTTTGTGTTTTGAGGCAGGGTCTCGATGTGTAGTCCAGGCTGGCCTTGAACTCACTAGGTAGCCCAGGCTGGTCTCAAGCTTGCAATGATCCTCCTGCCTCGGCCTCCTAAATGCTGGGCTAACAGGTGTGGATCACCACGCCTGGCTGACAGGAAATTCAAGTCAGTGATTCTTTGAGTGTGCCACAGACATACTCCTACAGGCATTTTTTCAGGCCAGGATTGACCTAGTTAGAAAATGAGTCTCTCGAGTGTGTGACACTGTGCCATAGTCAGGGTCCTGCCTGAGACCTTGGCAGTCTCAAGGTCAGGGTGGTGTTATCTTTACCTCCCAGGACAGGGGCGCTGGGACCTCGCAGCTGAGGGTTTGCCCAATGCCTCCGCCTATTCTAATCATTTGTCCCGTGTTCCCTGCTCTCCTTTGCTAACAAATGGGAAAAAGAACAAGCCTAGAAGAATCCTTGAAGCCCCAAGCTCATTGGGAAGATGAATTGGGTGGTATCTGGAGGCCTGTTTTCATTCCTCTTTGGAAAGGCATCAAAGAAAAAGAAGTGATCACTGTCACTGTCGCTGTTCCTGGTGACCCATGATGTTCTCTGGTTTTGGACAGAAACCTGAAACTGTGGCTTGTACCACAATCCCCGCCACAGCCTTCACCTTGGGGAGCTGGAAGGGGTGAGGTTGCCATCTCAGTAGTGGGTGCAGGTCGTGAGGGACCAGCACTGAGATCAGGCATACAGGGGCACAGCAGCCTCGCTCAGGGGACCTGGGCACCGTGAGTGCCTGCCTCCCCCAGCCCGCAGGCTTCTTCCTGACCCCCAGCGAGTGGGGAAAGATTCCCCTGCTGCTGTTTACCTGAAGTTGTAGCCAGGCGAGACACTGCTCTTCTCCGAGACGCCATCGAGCCGCGTGAAGGAGTATTTGGGGATACACTGGTCCCACGCCTTATCCAGGTCACACACCCAGCCAATCTTGATGCCCAGGACTCCACCCTGGGGGAAGCCAGGGGTCGGGTGTGAGCCAGGGCGCTTTCTGGGGTGTCACTGGCTTGTGGATCTGTCCCCCGTCAAGGCAGGAGGTGGGAGGCAGAGCTGGGCTGGCAGGCTCACCGTGCCGGCCAGCTTGGTGAAGTCCTGCCCTGCAAACCGGACCACGTCCCCCACACGCAGGATGGGGCAGAACGGGGCCCTTTCGGGGTGGAAGCGGCAGGTCTTCATGTCGTTGGTCGTCAGGTTGGGCAGGAGGTTTCCCCTGTAAGGAGGAGGGGCACAGGCAGTGGGGTGGGAACCGTCACACACGCAGTGACCCTCTCGGGCCTCAGGAGGCGGTGGCTCATGGGGACACTGGTCATCCACCCACCCTCTGGCCGTGTGTCTTTCTCCACAAACCCATACTCCTGTCCGAGTCATGTCCCCAGCGGCCCACAGCCTGGGAGGGTCGCCGTCCAGGCCAAGACTCACTTCTCGAAGTTGAAGAGCGGAAAGCGGATGCTGTTCTTGATGAAGATGGTGAAGTTCTCAGCCTCCCTCATGATGGGCCTGTGGGCCGGAGCGGGGACTTAGCACTGGGTGAGGGATAGGGTGCAGGGAGCCCCGACACAGCCGCAGATGTTTGGGACATGGGGCGCAAGGCTGGGGCCGCACCTCTCCACTGTGTCCACCTCCGTAGGACACCAACCCTGGACCTCACAGGTACGCAGCTTGGAGCTGGCGTTCACACAGCGGCCGGTGAGGATGCCTGGGGAGGAGACACAAGGGGACCACGCCTGGGTGGCCACTGTCCCCTGCTGCCACCTCCCCCTGCTTCTCGGGGGCTGTCCCACCCCAGGGCCCCATGCTGACCCCTCTCTGTCCGCCAAGTCCTGGTCTCCAGGGCCTCTGGAAGCTGTCGGACCACCCCCCAGGGAGCAGGCTCTGTCCTGGGTGCCACCTGCAGCCCCTACCCTTGACTGCGCTGTGTGGGGACCAGGCCCCCTACCCTTGACTGCGCTGTGTGGGGACACCTTGGCAGCTGCTGGGCCTGCCTTTTGTAGATGTGGGCAGAACTACACAGGGCAGGGGCCCACTGTTCTGGGGCTGCGCTCACCCCCGCCTGCGAAGCGCCCCCGCCCGCACTGGCTGTCATCCACGCAGTGGAACTTCTCCTCAGTCTGTGGTAACAAGGCACAGGGGACCCTCAGCCCCATGCTTTTCCACAGTGCAGCCTCAGGATAGAGGCTGGGAGGGGTCGGGCGCCCACTAGCCAGCGCCCACCCCTCCCTGACACACCTCTGGGCAGAAGCCCTGCATCTGGTTCTCGGTGACAATCATCTTGGTGATGATGACGAAGACAGAGGTGCCCTTGGGGGAGAAGAAGGGAGGCCCAGTGCCTTGAGAGGAAAACACCCCCTCCATGCATGGGATGGCCAAGCAGGGTGGCTGGGACGACAGAGGAACAGAGGACAGAGGTGCCGTCTGTGCATCCCGAGGCTGGGGCTGGCGGTGGCAGGTGGGGAGGACCCAACGTCTTGTCCACACCCGGACCTGGCTCCGGGGTGGGAAGCTCATTTCCCCCCAACCCCCTGCTCCCACCCTCCCAGGTATGGGGATGCCGTACCTGGGGCGGGGTGACATAGTCGGACACATCCATGACTCGGTTGGCATAGCGTCCGAAGCCCTTCACCTTGGTCACCACCGAGGACTCGATGGCCGTGTCGCGCACTTGGTACGCCTTCTCGTGCAGGAAAACCCAGCTGCACCGCGGTGACGGGGAGAGACACGGAGGAGAAGGTGCCAACTCAGCCTACCCAACTGGGAGCTGCTCCTTCTCGTGTACCCAGGAATTCGGGCACCTGCCTGGTACTGTAGGCTGGGCCGGGCTACACCTGGAGCTGACTTAGGGTGCTCCACTGCCTCCCCTGTCACTGGCCACTCAAAGAGCCCTTTCAGACTTTCTGCCTAATTGCCCCTCCCCACAGAGCTGTAATAGTATGGGCAGCTGTTTGGGTCCCACACGTACCCACGCCTTACATGAGATATGATCAAAGGCTCGGGGAACGCCGGCACTCTTAGAAACTTACTGCAGGGCGACACACAGTGCTGCAAAGCCCCTGGAAACCCTGATTTTCCTTTGAGCACACATGTCCAGCCCCGCCTCCCAAGCTCCGATCTCTGCAGATGCTCTGGAGTCTTCTTTCCTGAGAGTCTCTCCCTGCCTCAGTGTCCTGGATTGACTCAAAACGTTGACTTTCCAAGATTGCTTTGAAAAGGTCACTGTGATCTCAGGGAAGAGCTGGAGGTCTCGCAGGGGCGGTCCCGTGAATGAGCATCAGGGCACAAGGTCACTGGTCTCCCAGATGCCTTCGCCAGCAGCATTCACTGTGTTTTTGATCCCATCTCCTAAGGAGGACTCCCCACGAGCTGCTTCAGGAAGAGGCAGGAAGGGTGGATGTGCACGTGTGAAGTGTGGGGAAGCGCGAGGGGGCTCCTGACTGCATGTGTGCAATGGTCATTGAGCGTGGACACTCAGAGCCCAAGCAAAGCCTTCCTTCTTCCCTGCAGAGGCCCGCGGTTCCGCCCCTGGGGCCTGGGCTGTGGACACCGGTGGCTCCATGTCCCTGCTCCTAGAAGGCGTGGGGGGTAGCAGCTCCCTCTACCTGGGGGACTCAGTCACCTTCACCTGTCCGGGGGGCAGGGGTCAGAGGAGGGAGGCAACGCTGGCCCCCACTGGGCAGGTGCAAGAACGGGTGCAACTGGGAAGGTCCCGAGGTCATCGCTGGGATTGTGCTGCCATCTAGTGGCCATTTACCTGGACAGCTCCCCTGCAGCCTGAAGCCCTGCTAGGAGCGGGGGTAAGACTGGGGAGACCAGAGTCCCGGGTAGGACCTGAGGTAAGTGCTGTCCCTGTTTCAACTCCAGAGAGGTCAGAAGCTACCAAGGCCACTTGGAACAAGCAGCTGCATGGCTGCATTCCCTAACCTCGCCTTTCTCCACCCCAGAAGTGCACAGGGACCCGGCAGTGTGACCCTTGGGTCCCCCCAGCCCGGGATGCCAGGGGGAAGTAGCTCCCAGAACACCCTGAGGGTCACAGTCGCCTGTTATGTGTGTTGTGCAGCTTCTTTCCGTGTGACCCCTAGAATGAGGCTTCCCATACTCGAACTCTTTTTTCTTTCTAAAATTTAATTTGCAGCCAGGTGGGATGGCACACACCTGTGCTCCCAAGCACTCGAGAGGCTGAGGCAGGAAGACTGCTGCAAGATGGAGGTCAGCCTGGGCTACACAGTGAGTTCAAAGCCAGCCTGAAAGACCCTGTCTCAAAAACACAAAGCAAGGGGCTAGGGGTTTAGCTCAACGGCACAAGCGCCTGCCTGGCAAGTACGAGGTTGTGGGTTTGATCTCTGGTACAAAAAAAAAAAAAAAAAGAAAGAAAGAAAGAAACATTTAATTTTCAAATTATTACTCTTGTATCACTGGGGACTTGTAGAAGACTTGCAGATGGCTTGAATGCAGAACTGTTATTTCCGAGTTATTTAAACCAGGCCCCAGCTCCAGGTACCACTATGCCCAGAGCCAGCTGTGCTATCTGCTTCTCCCTTACCCGACTCTGAGCTGTGCAAACAAGACCGGCTGAGGGGCTGATGTGTAATCTTTTTTTTTGTTTTTTTATTGGTACTGGGGATCAGACTCACGACTGCATGCTTGTGAGGCAGGCATTTATGCCACTGAGCTAAATCCCCAGCCACTGATGTGTAATCTTCACACGGAAGATTCCAGCAAGGAGCCTCAAAATACGAGGCTATGACTTCCCAGGATGCAAAAGTTTACATGTCAGAAACAGAAGCAGCGGCCTCCTCATTCATTCCTCTGCCATCCCAGGGGAGTCTTGCAGACTGGCCCCACTGCGTCTCTCTCCCTGCACACTGCAGAGCTGCCAGCCAGCTCAGCTTGCTCCCATAGTCCCGCCATCCTCACTGTCACTCACCCTCGAGCCACCCCCCTTCTTCACGAGATATTAAATTCCGGGCAAGGCCTTGGGTCAGGGCCTTTGTCCTCATATCCTCCCTGGGATCAGGCTTAGGACCCCTTGGCTGCCCTTCATTCAGAATATGTCTTGGTGTCTTTACGCTGGCTGTGGGTTGCATCAGAAGTGTAGATTGGAATTAACTTGCTGGGACTCCAATAATGTCTCAGTGGGATTACAAATATAGCTTTTTGGATTGTGAGGAGGACTGGAGATGGAATTATAATATTTGGGTTACAATATTTGGATTATAATAGGGACTGAGTCCAGGATCTTCACACTGAGCTACATTCCCAGTCCTTTTTTTATTTTTAAATTTTGAGACAGGGTCTCACTAAGTACTTAAATCACCCAGGCTGGGCTCAGACATGTGACCCTCCTGCCTCAGCCTCCCAGAGTGCTGGGATTATTGGTATGTGCCACCATGCCTAGCAAATTCTAGTACTTGTAGCTGGCCAGCAATAATGGCACGTTGTTTCACAGACGGATGAATCTATCAAGCTCTTAACATCTCCATCATCTCTCTCTCCTATTATCAGCTACTTAGCCTGCTTCCCATAGTGGGGCCTCCTTGGGTGGGAGATGGCTCCACGCCTGCTACCTGTGTTATCACTGCGAGGGATTAATGCACCATTAGGAGTTACTCCCCGCTTGTAAAGCGCTCTCCGGAGGCCTGGCCTCTGTGGAGTTCTGGGTGCTGCCTCCCCCGTGCTTTTTCTCTGTGGAGAGGGGGGGAGTTTTATCACAGCCTCATCCTTCCTAGCCAAGTGCAGAGGAGTCACACTGCAGAGGACAGAAGTCACCCTGTGTCCTTAGGGAGCTCCCGAGGCCGCCCTGCCCTGGGGTCCTGGAGCTTGAGCTGTACAAGAGGTTATCACCAGGGTGCAGCCCACACTTGACACTCAGCTTCCATGTATCCCTGCTGACCACAGAGCTTTGTCATGCCACCTCCACGTCACATATGGGGAAACTGAGGCACAGAGGGGTGGGCCCACCTGCCCAGTGCTGTGATGCTTCTGAGTGGATTCCTGGCCAGCATGGCGAAGGGCCTCAGGCTGGGTCCTGTCTCAGGAGCGGGCCAGTGCTGGTCTCTGCTGTGAGGCCGGGGGCCTCTCCCTGCCAGCTGGGGACAAGGATGAAGGACGGGACGGTGCCCTGGGAAGTGAACAGTGCCTCCTCCTCCATGGCTCTCTCTGTGCCTGCCGGCCCACCGGGAATTCTGTCTCCCTCTCTTCCAGTTAAATGACCAGGAAATGGTGCAGCGCCCTGGGGGCGTCCCTCAGCGCCAGCTGGAGAGAGGGACTGCTCAGTCAGGACAACTGGGCTAAGCCGGACCATGGAGCTGATTCTTGGCATCCATGCTGCCTGCCGCTCTGACTTCTTTTTTCCTCACTCCTGGTTTATTATTTATAGAGCGGAAGGGGGTGGCAGCACTGGGGAGGGCGGGAGGTGTGGGAAGCATCCCGGGGGTGGGTGCGGGGTGCGAGCTGTGGGTGTCCAGGATTGCGGTGAGCAGGCCAGGCAGAAGAGGCAGCCCAGGGTCATCCTCTCTGAGCTGAGTCCCATAGAGTCACCTCCAGGAACCAGACACATGTCATCGTCCTAAACCCATTTTCTGGATTCAGGGACTGGGACTTCTGGCCTGAAAGGTTGCTGGGAGTGACACTGAGTTTGGGTAGGACCAGACTGGGAGGCCAGGAAAGGGGATTGGAGGTCCCACTGGCCATCTCTGGTCCTCAGGAATGGGCACCAGGCACTTGAACCTGTAATCCTCCTGCTTCAGCCTCCCAGAATGCTGGGATCCCAGACCTGTCCCAGGATACCACACACACCAGGAAGGTCCTCTCCACCCTTCCAGCTGCCTGCAGAATGCAGAAAGGGAGTGGATGCCAGGAAGTCCCACCACCTGGGGGTTACACTTGACCCAGAGGCCAGGAGAAGTGTCAGACGCCTCTGGGCTACTATCCCCTGTACCTGGGGTGAGGGAAGGATTGTCCACAAGGAGTGTCCACCAAGGGCTAGCAGCTGAGGGCAGGAGGAGAGGGTGTGGCCAGACAAGGCCAGAGGGTCACACTGTCTAGGTGAGGCCAGGCAGCCTCCCTCCCAGTGGGGACACTGGGGAAAAGGCCATTTTGAACTTACTCTGTGGTACTGGGGAGTGAACTTGCATCACCTTGGTGCTGAGCTACGTGCTCCACTGCCTTCCATTTTTTATCTTGAGGCAGGATCTGGCTTCATTCCTAAATTGCCCAGATTGGGCCCACATTTGCAATCCTACTGCCTCAGCCTCCCCGTGTGTTGGGATTACAGCTATGCCAGCCACGTCTGGCCCAAGAATGAAGTTCAGGTTGACACAGCTGCACTAAAAACCCTTTTACCTTCAACAGTCTGTGCCTCTTGCTGTCTGTGTCTCCTCTCCTGGCCTCCTGCATCTGCTCTTGCCTGCTGCAATCCCTGACACTTTGGCCAGGGTGACCTTCCCAGCTCAAGCTCAGCACACCTGTCTCGGTCTGGACACACATTGCATGTGCACACAGACACATGGTTCACTGTGCTCCTAAGAAAATAAAGCTCCCCCAGGATGTGCGAGGCCTGGCCTCTGCATCCTCAGCCTCTTACCATTGCCCTCTGCTCCCTGCTGTGGTCTTTCAAGCTCTTCCTCTGCTCCTCTGAGGTCCACTCTTTCCCCCTGCAGCGGGCATCTGTGTCTCCACCTGGCCCCTCCTGCCCACCTTGTCCCCAGATGTGGTTTCAATCCCTGCCTGGCAGCAGTTGTCCTGGTCCTGTGCAGCTCCTGGCTACAGCTGAGATCTCTGTCAGCCCACTGGGGACCCCCCAATCAACATCCACCTCTTTGCCTGTCTGAGGCTCAGTGTGGAAGCACCCTGCCAGCTTCTGTCTCTGAAGCTTGTGTCCTTAAGCCCCTCACAGCAGACATGGTGGAGAGACACCAGCTTCATCCTCGAATGCATGCACGGTCAAGGACAGTGGATCTCCAGATTCCTGCAGGGGTTGCGGGCAGGGCTCGTGTGGCGCTGATCTGCTGGGAGCTGTCACGCTGAGACGGATCGGGCTGGGCCAGAGAGCTGGACGCCAAGGCGGCCAAGCCCAGCCCCCGCCCTGGAGGAGGCCATCTGAGCCGGCTGGGGAGGGGTCGAGGGCCTGGTCCAGGAGCCAGCTGGCTCCAGGCTCCTATCACCTCCTGTCTGCAGCCCGCGGAGCCAGGGAAAGCTGGGAATGCACCCAGCCAGTGCTTGCAGCCACCCAAGCCGACAGACCAGCTGGTGCCCATAGACCGTCGAGGCACTGAATGGACACCAGGCATGGACTTGTGAGGAACGCTCTCACCCATGCTCTGCAGCAGTGGACACGGAACAGCCACAAGTCTCCTCTCACCAACCTCCGTGGGGAGGAGGGAGCTTCTAAGCCATGCGATGGAACCCTACAGCTCCAGCCCCACATGAGGCCCTGTAGGAGGCCCAGGCTTTCCAAACACAGAAGTCAGGATGGTTGACACACAGATACCTGCCCACAGCTCATCCCCGCCCTCACACAATCCTCTGTGCGACCTTTCTGGCCACCAACCTGGCTCCCTATAGGTCACCTTCGATTGCATGGACGATGCACGGCTGGGTCAGTGGCTTGCTGTATCACACACACAGAGCCATTGTCTCAGAGAACAGCGGAGAACAGGACACCCAGGTCGGGGAGGAACGACCCTAAGACCTGCCTACATCTCCTGGTTCGCACTGGTGTGTGGCCCTGACCATGGCAGGACAGAGCCCGCACCCCTCCAGCCATCGTCTGCTCCATGCCTTTGTGTGGCCAAGTGTAGGAGTGTGTGCAGGAGGGGTGCTGGGACCTGGCCGGCCCTGAAGCGGCTGCCAGGGTGTGTTTCCTGGCATGGAAGGAAGGTAAAGAGGGGAATAGCATTTCTGGGCTCTCCTGCAGGGACCCACACTGTGTTCCTGAAAGCTACTTTTCCCCGCGGAGCGTCATCTATGGCTTTCTCTCTCCCTACCTCAAGGAGCAATCATGCCCTTTGTCTCCCTCCAAGAGAAAGAGAGAGAGAGAGAGAGAGAGAGTGAGCGAGAGCTTGGTCTCGCTGAGCTCACCCACTACTCAATCTAACCCTGCCCTGGCCAGCCTTCCTGCCCCCAATTCAGCCCTGTCACCCTGCGCCAGCATCTCTGGGCCACTCTGGTTTTTCTGAGACCCACGAGAGCTGATCCAGGGCAGTGAAAGCTACAGGGAAGGAAAAGGCTGCTTTTCTGGTTGATGGGGGCAGAGCCAGAGTGAGGACCCCACTTTGCTGTTCTGGAAGCCATCCTGCAACTCTGGAGGATCAGGGAGCCAAAGGTCCACCTGAGGACCAGGCCCTTGGCAAGGGTGTACAAGGCCAGTCCTTAGGACACAGGTCTCCAGGAAGAAGTGCTTCCCGCCAGAGCAGAGCCCAGGCAGCTGAGGAGGACAGGACACCAGGCAGCTGCCCATCTTGAACCCCAGAGGCCACGCATGCACTCACCCCACGAAGTAGGAGATGATCAGAAGCTGGACCGCTCGGTTGATGATCCCGATGGTCCAGCTCTTCACCACCACTGACTTGGTAGTCTCGTAGGTGAAGAAGTCTGAGATGCAGTTCATGCTGCCACAGCACTGGGCGCACCGGAGGGACCTAGTGACAGCCTTGGGAGAGGTGCTCTGGAGGAAGGGGGCACAGATGTGAGTCGAGGGGGCAGCTTGGGCTTGGGATTCCTTCACGCCAGGCACCCCAGCCCAGTGCCCTTGCTCTCCCTGCTCTTGCCACTCAGTCAGCCAGGAGTGCGAGGCCAGGGCGGGGGACCCCCTTTTTATTGTCTCCACCCCACTCCTCAATGATGTCACAGCCGGGGTGGGGTCTCCAGCGCTGGGCTCCTGATTGCCTGCCTGCAGCTGGCGAGGGCCCTCTGGGACTCCTGCTTTATCTGCACTCTGTGTACTGTTGCTGCTCTGTGCTCTTTGGCTGCAGCCTCGTCCTGGCTAGCCAGCTGCCTCAGGGTCTCCTGGAAGCCCCTCGAGACACCCCATCCCCAATCACCAGCAGCCCCTCTAAGCTGAGCTGAGCTGAGCGTCCTCTACTACTAAGCTTCCCGAGGTGCCTCCAAGAAAGAGAGAGGCTGTGCCGGGTCCTTTCGAATATTTCTCTGGTGCCCGGAAAAAGGAGAAGTAGAGAGTCCGAGATCCCTCACCCCAGCTGGCAAAGGCTGGGCCCTGGCACGGCAGCTTCCTTTCTTACCGGCAGGCTACTTATCCAAACCTCCAGTCAGACTGTGTGTTTTGGGAGGCTAAGGCGGTTCATATTGTACATTTTTACTTCCTCAAAGCCTCGAAGCCTGCTGGATTCGTGATGAGCCTGCAGTACACATGCATTAAAGCTAATTGAATTTATAATGCCAGGCAGAGCTGGCCATGGGACTCTTTAACCAGGCTCGCCAGGCACTCCTGTTGTCTGGTATCATGATTGTGAGGGGAATGCTGGCTTTAAATATTCCATCTTTATTCAGCACACATACGATCAATCACCCTGAGCGCAGAGGCGCTGCAATTATATTGGAAGAGAACTGGAGGAGTTTTAGGAGATCTGGGTTCCAGTCTCTGGCTTTTCCCTGAGGCTCTGGGAAACTTCTTTTCCGGCCTGTTTCCCCATCCACACAAAGAGATGGTGTGTGTGTGTGTGTGGGGGGGGGTGTTCAACCTCTCTTCTAGGCCTGGACTGCCTTGCGGCTGCAAGGTACACCATGGACCTCAGGAGGCGAAGCTGGCTTCTGTGCCCTGGGACTAACTGAAGCGTTTCAGCTCAGTTCTGGCTCCGAGGTAAATCTGACACCCGCATTTGCACTCCGCAGCACGGTGCCAGCAGCTTGCCGGCACTGGATCTGTGCCGCGGTTGGGGCTGGGTGCAGACGGCGCCCTGCAGCAGGGGTCCGAGCCACCTGCGAGCCACTGGCTCCAGCGCTCTTCCCCCCAGGGGCGGCGGCTGAATCCTTGCACAGCCGATGGACACTTTGCCAGCCAGATAGATCCCTGACACACCGCAGAAACTATGTTGCAGGAGAGGCGCACGTGCATCCTGCCAACACACACCCAACCCTGCAGAAAGTCACACGACTTCCCCTTAGACTCTAGTCTTCCCTTACACAAGCGCTAGCCTGTGTACTACTACACAGGTTTGCACACTCCCAGGTGCGAGTCAGTTTGCACCCTGGCAGGGCTTCAACACGGCCACAACGTCCTCAAGTCATCCAGCGTTACCGACGCTCTATCTGCAAGTCTCGTTGGCCTGCCTGCTTCGCGCCCCTCTAGCCAGCTCTTCCGCTCGATGGCCCGGCGTGACTTCCGGTGGCGGGACGCGGGGCGCGCACGCGGGAAAAACTCCTCTGGCGGCCCCCGCCCCTCCTTCGCGTCCCCAGCGCGCCCACCGCCCGCCGGGGGTCGTCCCGAGGCCGCCGCAGAAAGAGGTGAGAGGTCGCAGCCCCTGGTCCCCAGGGCCCCGCTCCCCTGCTGGATGCTCCCAGTGGACCACTCCGCGTTTAAACCTGCGGGCGGCGGGCGAGACCATTCCGGCCAGAGGGGGACAGCGCGGGTCCCCATCCCGGAGCACCTGGGGAAGGGGTTCTGCACGCCGCGCAGATCTGAGGTGCGGGGTGCGGCTGCTCCTGGTCGGGTCCCCACGGTGCACCCCAGGGTGTCGGGTTGGGGTGTCACCGGCCTGCAGACTTCCGGCAGAGCGGGCCTGGGACCTCCCTGCCCCACGCAGCTGTGCTTGGTACCCGGCCCGGCCGCGATCCCAGCGAGGCGGCGCCTTGCAGCTCCGTCTTTTCTCTTCTGAACCCAGATCCTCCGGCCCTCTGAATTCCTGCATCCCCATCCAGAAGTTGGGGTCCGGTTCCCGGCCACCCCAGGCAGGGCAGAATGGCAGAAACGCTGGAATTCAACGACATCTACCAGGAGGTGAAAGGCTCCATGGTGAGCAGCTGCAGGGTTAGGGCGGGTGGTGGGGGTAAGGGGGGAGGAGAGCCGGGAGTCCTCCAAGCAGAAGCTTGACTTCAATGATGCTGCAACTTCTGAAGGCTTGGGATACTGTGTGTCTGCTGTTTCTACCTACAGAGGACGGCAGTGACAGCAGAGTTCCAAGAGTTACAGGACCTACAGGGTCAAAGCTTGTGCTTTCTGTTCAAGTCCAATCCGTGCCACTCTTAGGGAAACTGCGGGTCTGTAAGGGCTCCAGAGGCAAGAGCGGCAGAGCCCCTGTTTCCTGGGCACTTGGCGATCTTTACTGGTCCTCACCAGCTGAGCTGTTGCTGTCCTGCTCTGGGGACCTGCCCAGCCCCCAGGAGGCAGGAAGGCTGTGGGGTAGAACTGGGCCCGGTCCCACCTTGTGCTGTGCTCCTGCATTGGGCCTATTCTCCTGGCAGAACGATGGCCGCTTAAGGTTGAGCCGCCAGGGCATCATATTCAAGAACAGCAAGACGGGCAAAGTGGACAATGTCCAGGCTGGGGAGCTGACTGAGGGCGTCTGGCGACGGGTAGCTCTGGGCCACGGACTGAAACTGCTCACCAAGAACGGCCATGTCTACAAGTATGACGGCTTCCGAGAATCGGTGAGACCCAGCTGCAAGAGCCCATGTCCTGCCAGCTGGTTTGGTTATTTCTAAGCTTTCTAGCTCCCTTCTGATAGCCACCTTCCTGTGGGTTTGGACTCCATGAAATAGGGCTGTTGAGGCCATTGCACCAAGCCTGTTCTGCTTTGGGGATCGAAATCTTGTGACTTACTCATTTGGGGGGGGCTTGAGGTTTTTTTGAGACTCTCTATGTAGCTCAGGCTGACCTCAACCCCACAGCAATCCTCCTGCCTTAGCCTCTCAAGTGATGACAGATGTAGGCCAGAACGCCTGGCCCTTCATGTTCTAACTGAAGGCTTTCTACTGTCTTAAGATGGATAATACCTGCTACTTGTAGCTAGGTTTAAAACCTTAAAATAGGCAGGGGGGCACAAGTGACAGGAAGATGGCAAATGTGAGGCCAGCCTGGACAAATTGGGATCTTTAGCAAGATCCTGTCTCAAAATTTAAAAGAAGTGCTGGGAATGTCATTCAGTGCAAAGACTCTGGGTTCAATCCCCAGTACTGAAGAATATGGAAACACAGAAAAGAGAATCTTAGCTCAGAGTTCTGGTTTGGGTTTTGAGCTTGAGTTATCCTGTACTTGTTGTAATTTTCATTGTTGCAGTACTTAACACAGTTTAAAAAGTCAGCTAACATAGTGAGACCTGTATCCAGGACCTTGCTGTGCCCCTCCCCTAGCCTAGAGCCTGTTTCCTAGAGGGAACCTCTCTTTGTAACCTTTTAAGCAACTTAAGAGCTGTCAGTGTGGATTGGTGGCCCTACTCTGGGAGGTGATGAGGCTGCGAGTTACTGGTACTCTGCTTTTCTCTCCTTCACCTGCAGGAGTTTGAGAAACTTTCTGATTTCTTCAAAACCCATTACCGCCTGGAGCTCATGGAGAAGGACCTCTGTGTGAAAGGCTGGAACTGGGGGACAGTGAAGTTTGGGGGTGAGCCCTGGGGCAGACAGCTTGAGGGGAGAGGTGGAGGAAGATTTCCTTCATTAACTCACCTTGCTGTCTTCTCTCTGCTGCTGTCTGACTTCCAGCTTGTGTGTTTTCCATGTATTTCTTGAGTACCTGCAGTGTGCCTGGTTTTAGGGGTGCAGAGGAGACAAAATAGCTGTGGTCTGTGGTTCTTGGGAAGCCTGGAGTGTGGTGGGAGGAGCTCGGGGCTTGACAGGCCCTTCCCTCGCAGGGCAGCTGCTCTCCTTTGACATCGGGGACCAGCCTGTCTTCGAGATACCCCTCAGCAACGTGTCCCAGTGCACCACGGGCAAGAATGAGGTGACGCTGGAGTTCCACCAGAATGATGATGCAGAGGTGTCCCTCATGGAGGTGCGCTTCTATGTCCCTCCCACCCAGGAGGATGGCGTGGACCCCGTCGAAGTAAGTGCTTTGCTGGTTACTGTGGGAACAGGCATGGTAAAGTGGGTTCTGGCTGGCTGGGTGACCGGATATGCCTTGCAGGCCTTTGCCCAGAACGTGCTGTCGAAGGCAGACGTCATCCAGGCCACTGGAGATGCCATCTGCATCTTCCGGGAGCTGCAGTGCCTGACCCCACGTGGTCGCTACGACATCCGCATCTATCCCACCTTTCTGCACCTGCACGGCAAGACCTTCGACTACAAGATCCCCTACACCACGGTGCTGCGCCTCTTCCTGCTGCCCCACAAGGATCAGCGCCAGATGTTCTTCGTGGTGAGCAGGGACCCCTGAGTGTGGATGAGTAAGGCTTGGCTGAGTGCGTCGGGTCCCAGGTGCCAGGCTCCTGTGAAGCATCAGTTGCTTTAATATAGGTCCCCGCTTCCTCACCAGATCAGCCTGGACCCCCCGATAAAGCAGGGCCAGACCCGCTACCACTTCCTCATCCTGCTCTTCTCCAAGGATGAGGACATCTCCTTGACCCTCAACATGAGCGAGTGAGTGATTTGGGGGGCTGCTGGAGTGGGGTGTGGTGGGGGAGGGCGGTGCCTGCAACCTCCCGGCCCTGTCCTCAGGGAGGAGGTGGAGAAGCGCTTTGAGGGGCGGCTCACCAAGAACATGTCTGGGTCTCTCTACGAGATGGTCAGCCGGGTTATGAAGGCGCTCGTGAACCGCAAGATCACGGTCCCCGGCAACTTCCAAGGGTGAGGCGTGGGGCTGGTATCCCGGTGCCTGCTGGGTCCCGTGGCTTGGCTATGTGGGCACTGATCGGCTCCCTGCACACCCCAGGCACTCGGGGGCCCAGTGCATCACCTGCTCCTACAAGGCCAGCTCAGGGCTGCTGTACCCGCTGGAGCGGGGCTTCATCTACGTGCACAAGCCACCTGTGCACATCCGCTTCGACGAGATCTCCTTCGTCAATTTTGCCCGCGGCACCACCACCACCCGCTCCTTTGACTTCGAGATCGAGACCAAGCAGGGCACGCAGTATACCTTCAGCAGCATCGAGAGGTGAGGCACGAGCCTCCCTTGTGCCCCCCGGTTCTCCATCCTGACCCCTGCACTGGAGCCTGGTATGGCCGGGGCCTGTTCAGGCCTGGGGCTGCAGCTTTGCAGAAACTTCCTATGGCTTCAGTGTGGTGTGGTTAGGGAAGTTCTTTTCTCTTGACTTTTGTTTTTGAGAGACAAGAGTCTCACCATGTAGTTCAGGCTTCAACTGAATTTTGTAGCCCAGGCTGACCCCAAATGTACAACAGTGCTCCTGCCTCGGCCTCCTGAGTGCTGGAATTACAGGCATGTGCCAACCCCTCTGGCCTGTTCTTTTCTGTTTTGTGGTACTGGGGATTGGACCAGGGCCTTCCAACTGAGCTGTATCTCGTCTGCACTCTGTGTTTCGAGACAAGGTCTTGTAAGTCCCCGGGAGGCTTGTGATCCAGCCTCAGCTTTCCAGAGTGCCAGGAAAGTTATTTTCTGCATCACAAGAGTGTGTAGAGTGAGCCGTTTTTCTTTTCCACTCTCCCCAGAGGAAACAGGATCTCTTCCTTTCCTGGCTTGAGCTCTACCTGGGAACTGAGGGTAATCTTACTGAGCGTTCTTGCAGGCTGAGCATTTTACAGACGTCTTTGTGTTAAACTTCACCCCTCCAAGTGTGAATCACAGATCTATGACTTTGCAGGGCACCCCTCCCCAGCACGCTGTGTTCTGTGCCATGTTGGGAAGTAGGTGGCCTTCACTTCCTGTCGCCGACTCTGGGGTGGGCAGGTCCTCCTCAGGACCCTCGCCTGACCCTCAGTGCCATCCACCGGGGTCCCTTGAGCTCAAGGGCTGGGTGTGTACCCAGAACCCAGCTGACACTGCCCCTTCACCCCCCAGGGAGGAGTACGGAAAGCTCTTCGATTTTGTCAATGCGAAAAAGCTCAACATCAAGAACCGAGGACTGAAAGAGGTACCAGGCTGGGCCCTCGAGCTGTTCCTGACCCTTCTGCCAGGGAGAGGGGGCCTGAGGCACCCGGCTTTTTCCCACTCTCTTCTCTCTTCTTACCCTTATAGAAAAAAGAGGCGCGTGTGACCCTGTCTGTCCCTTCCCGGTGCAGGTTTTCTCTGCATGACCTTAGATCGGGCTCTGCAGCCCTCTGAGCCCCGCAGGGCCGGGAGCGGGAGGGGCTTGGGCTGACCCAGTGTGGCCGTGAGGACCAGGGTGCTGGTCCTCCGGGCGCCGCTGCTGAGTTCCCAGGCATGGCTGGGTGCTTCTGCGCGTGCCAGGGGCAGGCTGGGGATGCTACCCTCACCCCGCCACCTCCGGCCTCCACTGCAGGGCATGAACCCAAGCTATGACGAGTATGCGGATTCTGACGAGGACCAGCACGATGCCTACCTGGAGCGCATGAAGGAGGAGGGCAAGATCCGGGAGGAGAATGCCAACGACAGCAGCGACGACTCGGGCGAGGAGACGGGTGGGCCGGCTGTGCTGTGTGCTAGACCCTGGAGCTGGGGGCCGGGGCTGGGTGTGGGTGGTATTGCTCTGGGCTGGGCTGATGCTTGCTCTGTGGTCTTTTCCAGATGAGTCCTTCAACCCTGGGGAGGAGGAGGAGGACGTGGCTGAAGAGTGAGTGTGGGGAGCATCCCAGGGTGGTGCCGTGCATTTTCCTGTCCCAATATTAGCTCTGACCCAGGGGCAAAGTGACAGCACGGAGTCAACCAGGAAGGTGTCCTCTGCGGCACCAAGGGCCAGAGTAGTGGGGAGGGCCTGGAGTGCAGAGACTCAGTTTCTCCAGCTGTGTGCACCAGTAGCACCTTGGTGATCGAGGAGCCAGGGCTTTGGTTTTGCATACCAGGCTGACAGCATGTAGGGGGTATAGGGGGGTCTCTGAGCTTGGACAGCCAGACAGCCCTGGGGTTGGGTTGGCATCAGCCCCTACACAGACAGAGCCAGGTGACCCTCACAAAGGCTGGGCAGGCATTAACCCCACAGGCTGCTTCCTACGGTCAGCAGAGCAGCCGCGCAGTCACCTGGCCCTTTGGAGGTCTGGGGTGTACAAGGCTGTACCCGTACCCACCAGGCCATGTTTGGGGTGAGCCAGGGCACGGAATGAGGGCTTCATCTGGAAATGAGCACTGTGAGCAAAACCAACCCAGAAGTTGCCCAGGCGTCCCTTGGGCCCAGCTGTGCACAGCTCTCTTAGTGGTGCTGGGGCTGCTGCTGGTGTGGGTGCCCGGAACTGTGGGTCCATTTTCCGAGCAGCTGCCATGTGTGGCCACGACACTGGGCAGGGATCAGCTGCCTAGCAGTCCCAGGGCCCCAGGGACACTGTCCTCTGGGTGTCAGCTCTCTGTTTCTCGGGGAGGACTGGGTAAAAGGGAGGGTGACTCACAAGGAGATAGGGGAAGCAGGTACAGCATGCCCCAGCCCATGCAGACGCTGTCTCTGTGCTTAGTGGGAATAGAGCGGGACCAGGGTCCACTCTGGTGGGATCACCTTGGCCCCCTGGTTCACTCTTGGAACCGGTGTGGCAGCTGTGACGGACCAGGGGACAGGTGGGCAGCCTCCGGGTACTGGCAGCATCAGTGTCCTCTGGTTTCCTTTCCTGAGTCCTCATGCCAAGGCCCCTGGGGCTGTCTCGCTCCCCAAGTCAGACCCTCCCCCCACCCACCATAGGTTTGACAGCAACGCCTCGGCCAGCTCGTCTAGTAATGAGGGTGACAGCGACCGGGAGGAGAAGAAGCGGAAACAGCTCAAAAGGGCCAAGATGACCAAGGATCGCAAGAGCCGAAAGAAGACTGTGGAGGTGAGGACTCCTCTGGACTGGGGAGTGTGTGTGCGCGCGTGCCTGTGCATGCATGCACACATGGGCTATCTGTCCTCCTGACCGGTCCACCACTAGCAGCTTTGGTCCAGCCTTGGGCTGCTTTTTATAGCTGGTGATTCTGGCCTTAGGATTGTGGAGATGTTTTGAGCTCATTTGCTTCTGGAAGAACTGAATGGGGAGATGGGAGATGGGGCTGGTCTGTCCTGGGGACCCTCCCGAGCTGTAGGGAGAGGATGCCACTTGAGGTCACTGTGACAAATGCCTGAGAGAGTCACTCAGAGAAGGAAGTTTTTTTTTTTTTTTTTTTTGCAGTACTGAGGATTGAACTCACGACCTGGTGCTTGCCAGGCAGGTGCTTATGCCGTTGAGCTAATTCCCCGGCTGGAGAAGGAAGTATTTTGGCTCAGAGTTTCCTAATGTGGCTGCTAGTTCTGATGCTGGCCTTATGAGAGGCAGGAACACTGTGGTGATGGGGCATCAGACAGGGAAGCCGTCACGACATGGCAGTCAGGAAGCAGGAAGAGCTAGAGAAGAAGGGGCTGGGGGCAGGTTCAGTCCAGGTCAAGCTCCCTGGTCCAGGCTCTTGAATTGGCCCCCATTTCCACCACCACCCATTGATGCTGTTGCATGGTGACCTCTGACACAGTTGGCGTCCCGGTGACCCAGTCACCCCCAGAGGTATTCGAGGTAGCCGCTTTGAGGACATGATGGGTGTCCAGGCAGTAGGGGACTCATGGTATCTGGGTTCTCACTTAGGCGAAGAAGGGCAAAGACCCTAATGCCCCCAAGAGGCCGATGTCTGCGTACATGCTGTGGCTCAACGCCAGTCGGGAAAAGATCAAGTCAGACCACCCCGGCATCAGCATCACGGACCTCTCCAAGAAGGCCGGCGAGATCTGGAAAGGGATGTCCAAGGAGAAGAAGGAGGTGAGGGGTGGCGGGCTATGTGAGGAGTTGTGGCCTGGCTTTCTCCTGTACCACACTGAGCATGGCGTGTGTCTGCTTTGCAGGAGTGGGACCGCAAGGCTGAGGACGCCAGGAGGGAGTACGAGAAAGCCATGAAAGAGTATGAGGGAGGCCGTGGTGAGTCTTCCAAGAGGTGAGTGGCAGCTGTGAACTCAGCAGCTCTGCAGGTGCTTTGGGCAGATTTATCTTTGCAGGGCAGATGTTGTAAGAGGTGGGAGTTAAAGATCCTAGGCATTTCTGAGTGTTATAGAGCCGCACTTTTCAAACCTGAACCTGTCTCAAACAGTGCAAGGGTGGGTGATAAATAGGAAATTTAGCTCACTGGATAGTCTCTAGTTTTCCTAAAGAGCTGGTTGTATTTGAAGCTTTGGGGAAATTTAGAAAAAAATTATTTTAAACTAGGTGTGGTGGCTAACACCTGTAATCCAAGCACTCTGGGATGCTGAGGCCAGAAGCCTGCAGGTTTGAGGTCAGCCTTGGGCAAGTTGGTGAGAACCGTGTCTGAAAAAAGGGCTAAGGATGTGTGAGGACCCTGGGTTCAATCCCAGGTTGGCGGGAAGTACTGTGGAGCCTAATGGAAAGTCCATGGGAATTTTAAAAGATAAAGCAGCACTTTTGCACCAGCACCAGGGTCAACCACAGTCCATTTCTCCTGGCACACGCATATGGGACTCTGCCTTGCCAGAGCAGGAAGAGTGTGGCTGGGCTCAGGAGAGGGTGCAGGGCACGTGGAAGAAACCTGAGGTCCAGCTCCGTCCCCCTCTCGCTGCTCTAGGGACAAGTCGAAGAAAAAGAAGAAAGTGAAAGCAAAGATGGATAAGAAATCTACACCCTCTCGGGGTTCTTCGTCCAAATCATCATCCAGACAGCTAAGTGAGAGCTTCAAGAGCAAGGAATTTGTGTCCAGTGACGAGAGCTCTTCAGGCGAGAACAAAACCAAGAAGAAGAGGCGGCGCAGTGAGGTGCGGGGATGGGGGCCTCACGAGTTGGAGGTGTCTGGGCAGGTGTTGAGGGATGAATTTGAGTTGAGGTGACTGGATGGGTGCTGAGTTGGAGGCAGGGGTTCCAGGCCTTTCTCTAGGATTCTGCCCTTCCTACTAAAAAAATTCTCTCCTACTAAAAGAGAGAATTCTGGTTTTCAGGACTCTGAAGATGAGGAACTGGCCAGCACCCCTCCCAGCTCAGAGGACTCGGCATCAGGATCTGACGAATAGAGATGGAGGACCCTGCACCTGCCATCACAGCACCAGGCTCCCACCCACATCCTGGCATCAGTCTGTCCTCCCACGATGCGCGGTCTTTGGATCACATGCCCTCTGAGCGCGCTTCACGGGTGGCATGCATGTCACGGGGCCAGGGGCCGCTCCTTGTGATTGGGAGAGAGTGGACAGTAGGCCAAGCAGCGCAGCATCCTAGCCCTGGTCTGCCCCTGGCAGCTGCTGGTCCTGTGTTGTTGGTTTGGCAGGGTCAGGACGGGGGCAGGCCAGTGGCTACTTTGGGGCCTATTTCTACTTTTATTTTGTATTTCTGGTCTATGAAATCAACATTTAATAAAGGAATCTGACTTTGGAAGCCATGTGTGTGTGCCTCCTTTCCAGGCCAGTCACAATTTGTCATCCACTTTGAATGCTGTGGGTAGCACCCCCCCTGTGGGGCATCCTGGCAGCCGGTCTCCAGTTATGTCCTGCTTTGCTCCTGCCGGGCCAGCATCAGTTTCTGCCTCCTGAGAGCAGCGCTTATGAGTGCTGATGTGATTAGCAAGGATCTCATCCAGGCAACACTCCATTACCCCTGCGACGCACGCTGAGCCCTCTTCTCACTTAGTGAGTCAAGGATCTTTTGGGGCTGAGATAATACAATTAGGATCGACGCTTCCCGCAGACCGTGGAGTGGAAACCCGAGCCTGCAGCCTGGGAGGATGAGTGCGAGTGTGATGGGGTGTGGGAAGATTTTGTTTTTAGGATGAAAACAGGGTTATAAAATCTGGGCATTAGAATGACCCTGTTTCAGCAATGGATGCCTGAAATGAGATAACAGCACTAAAGGGGGAACTAGAGGCGCGACGCTGCCTTTCGGTGGCTCCAGATCGGAGCTTATGCACGTGGGCGGCCACATGGCCACGTCCTCCCGGTAGTAGCTGGAAGTTTAGGATCAGCCAGCCCCTACCTTCTTGCCGCCGCGCCTCTATGGTGCTGCAATCACTGCCGGCCGCTGGGAGGGGCCGGGTTGAGTCTCTCTAGGCCACCGTCTCGGTGGCGTGGGGGACTTGCGTCAGTCTTTCCCACCCCAAACTCTTTATTTGCATGCTCATGAATAATTCAGCAAGGGCTGCCCCCTTCGATGCAAGGCAGGCGAGGTCCGCAAGGGCTTTTCCACGCCCGCTTCCGCCTGTTATACATATTCATGAGGCGTGCGGGGGCGGGGTCTGGGCGGAGCTGAGGGCAGGGCAGAGTCGGGCTCGCGGCGCCCGGGTCCCTCGGCGACGGGGGCAGCGGGGGACAGCGGAGGGGACCGGAGCGCACCGGGTGGAGCGGGGCCGGCTGCGTGAGTGAGTGTGAGGGGCCGGCGGGCAGGCGGGCGGTGGGGCTCGCGTGGGGACCGAGGTGCGGGTGGGGTCACCGGAAAGTTTGGTGGGGCCCGGGGCGCACGGTCTGGGGCTCGTGCTGTCGGGGCCGAAGAAAGGGGGGAAGGGCGGAGGAGGGGCGAGGGCGGGCCTGGACTCAGCAGGGACTCCCCCCCCCCGGCCTCCCCCCCTCCCCAGCCTCGGCTCCGCCCCCCTCCCCGTCCCCTTCAACCCTCCCCACCCCGCGTAAGTCTGCTCCGCGGGGTCCGGAGCTTGGTCCCCTGGGGTCCCCGGGATCCTCGCAGCCCCTCGCCCGGCTGCTCTGTTTGCAGCCGCTCCCGGGTGTGCAGCTCGAGTGCTCCCGGGGCCAGGTGGGCGGGGGAGCCTCAATCCACTGAGGTCCTGCAGCCTCGGGCCGTGGGCTCGGTCACGCGGGCCTCCCCACGCTGCCCAGCTGGGGATTCCAGGTGGCCTCGGGGCGGCAACCCCCTCGTCGCAGAGGCGCACCGCAGGTGCCCGGCGAGAAGGGCTCCCTGCACTGAGCCCCGGCCCGCGTTTCCGCCCACCCGCGCCGTGCCCCTCGTGATGGTGTTCAAGGACGAGGGAGCAGTCGTGGGCTCTTGGGGTTTGTTTTCTCAGAGACAGACAACCCTGCTCCCTTGCCCCACGGCCTGGCGTGGACCTCGTACACGCCCGTGGGCAGGCCTCCGTGGGAGTGGGCTGACCCAGGGCTTGGAGGGCTGGGCTCTCCGCAGCTTACGTGCCCGCTGCTGTCTTGGACACGCTGGGACACGATCGCAGATGGAGGCTGGGGTGGGTTCCGATGAGATTGGGCCCTGCCTCCTTTGGAAGGTGTCCCAAGGGTTGTAACCCTGGCCGGTGGGCGGAGAAGGCTGGGCCCAGTACCCACCAGGTGTCAGGAAGCGGCTCCTTGGTCTTTGAACAGGTGGGCAGGGCGTCTCTCCTCGGGTCCAGCCCCGGGTGTATGTGATGGACCGAGGAAGGGGTAACACAGATCTCCAGTGGTCCACGGACAGGAGTGGGCCTGGAGGGAAATGGCCTGGGGTATGGGGTGAGGAGAAGGTAGAGACCGGGAAGTTATTTCTGCTCACAATGACAATGGCCAGGTTTTTGTGGATTATCTCACTTAAACCTCTAGGGTCTATCGCTAGCCCCATTTTTCAGATAGAGAAACTGAGGTTTAGCGAAGGCATACTGCTGGAAATTAGTAGGAGTTCCCCCTGAAGCCCAGAGGAGGAGACTCTGTTGGCTTCTACCACGTGGCTGTCACCTGGTTTATTTCCCACCGGCTCTCTCAAAACCCCAGGCCAGCCCCTTCCTGAGGATCTGGGCTCGGGGAGCCCCGGGAAGGGGAGCCCGGGGGAGTGGGTCCCTAAGTTGCCCCACCCGCCGGATGTTCTGCAGTCCCATCCCGTCCTCAGCCGGCCCAGCTCTGGCCGGCTCCTCCTTCCTCCTGGCCAGCTCTGGAAATCCAGTGGGAGGCCATTGCTATGGCAACGGGACTAGGCCCCGACTTTACCTCATCCAATTCCAAGCCGAAGCCAAAGCAATTGAGAAATTAAAGAAAAAAATGTATTCCAGATGTTTACTTTTTATGCCTTATTTTTCCGTGTTTGGATGAGACAGCCGGAGGGAGGGGGAGGGGGCCGCTCCCAGTGTGAGGGGGAGGGGATGGGGCAGGGTGGGGCGGAGCCCCAGGTTGGGGAGGAGCGGGTTTTTCCCGTCTCCCGGGAGGTGATTCAGATCCCAGAGACTCCAGTGCTGGCCCTCCTGCCCTGCCTTCCTGCCTGCCTGGAGTGGGCCCGCCTTCGGTGAGTCTGGGCGATCGGTGCCCTGCAGCTCGTGGACCCCGTTTCTTGGGGACGGTCAAAGCGACCAGAGCTGAGAGGGTCTGGGTAGAGTTAAGGATGTGGCTCTGGGGACCCTTGGTGACCTCCCCGGTCCCCTCCTGAAGTGACCACTTCCTGCCCCACGAGCTGGCTGTGCTGGGAACGGGAGATTTCCCGGCCAACACCCGGCCGCCTGGATCCTCTTTCCCTCTGGGGTCGCAGACCCCAGCTCACCCTCCTCCCACCCCTTCCCTGGCAGCGTGGTCCGCAGCATGGAGGTGTCTGCGCTCTCTGAGGGCACGGCCATGGCTTCCCCTCTGCACCGGGACATGGATGAGGAGCCAGGACCTGATGGCTCTGAGCCAGGTACCCACAGGCATGGGGTGGGTCGGGCTGGAGGAGCAGTTGGAGGGGGAGGGTGCCCGTGCAGACCCAGTCACCAGCTGGCCCACGGCAGTTGTGGGCCCTGAGGATCTAGATGAAGCCTCGTGTTTTGTGTGGGGGAAACCGAGGCACGGAAGGCCTCCCCACTCCCTGCACAGCGGAAGGAGTGGGTGGCAGGGTTCTGTTTCGGTGGGATCCGGTAGAGACCTGCAGAAAAGGCAGTTCTGGTCTGGGAATTTTTTTTCCTTGTAGCTGATCTACTTCTGTTTGGCTTAGGTCAATATTAAGTTTGCATTCCTGGTCACACACCAGATGACAGTGGGAAGGTGCTGGGAGGGTGTGGGGGTAGGGATAGTGGCCCAGCAGGTGGAGACCTGGGCTTGGAGGAGAGAGGGCTGGCAGTCCTTAGCAGGACAGCTGGACTGGGCGCATGGCCTGCTGGACTCCTTCACTGGTCCATCATCAACTTGGCGGGGTTTTGGGGGGTGTGAGCCATGGGCGAGTATGCATCAGGTTCCTGCCAGGCCCGTGGCAGAGGAGCTGGGGAGAGGGACAGTGTGTGACTGCTCAGTAGTCCAGGCTGGCCACAGGGAGCAGGTGGCTTTGTCCTGTGTCTAGGATTTGATGTTTCTGGACTGCAGGGTAGGCTTCAGGGGTGCAGCAGCCTCTAACAACTGCCCCCCTGCCATTCATGCTTCTTTTCAGCAGGTGACCTTCGGGCCAAGCCGCCTGTCAAGCCTAAGCCCCGGGCACTGCCCGCCAAACCTGCCCTGCCCGCCAAGCCTAGCCTGCTGGTGCCCGTGGGGCCTCGGCCGCCTCGGGGGCCCCTGGCTGAGCTGCCGTCCGCCCGGAAGATGAACATGCTGGCTGGGCCCCAGCCCTATGGGGGTAGCAAGCGTCCCCTGCCCTTTGCACCAAGGCCTGTGGCTGAGGCCGCATCCGATATACAAGCAGCCCAGGACCCTGGGAAGGAAGAGCCATCCCCCTCGACACCACCCACCCGCTGTGCCGCCCCTGGGGGAGTGCGGAAGGCTCCCGCCCCGTTCCGCCCTGCCTCGGAGCGCTGTGCAGCCACCACAGTGGAGGAGATCCTTGCCAAGATGGAGCAGCCCAGGAGGGAGGTCCCGCCCAGCCCTGAGCGGCTCTGGGGCTCCCGCCTGTCCTTCAACCAGGATGGCAGCTCGCGCTATGGCCCCCGCACAGCTCTCACCCGGGGCTGGTCCCAGGAGGGACCCACAGAGTGCCAGGAGGAGCGCAACAAGGCCCCTGAGGCCAGGTGAGGGCCAGGGACCTCGTGGGTAGCCCCCTCTGCCTGCCGCCAGGACCTTTATTTGCCCTTAGCTGTTGTGTGCTGGGAATGTAGGCAGACTGTGGTCACCAAGGGCAGAACGTCTTTCTGCAGCAGGCAGTGTCACAGCGTCCATTGCGTTTTGAAGAACTGTATGTAATTCTCTGTGGGCGTGTAGCCCATGCCTGTCATCCCAAGACTGGGAGGCTGCCGCAGGAGGATTGCAGGTTCGAGCCCAGTCTGGGCAACTTAACAAGGAATTGAATCTCTGTTTAAAGTAAAAAAGAGTTAGGGACATAGCTCAGTGCAAAGCTCAGAGGTTCAATCCCTAGGACATAAAAAAAAAAAAAAAAAAAAAAATAGAATTCTGCTGCTGAAGTGCCAAGTACTGAGTGCAGAAGTTTTAATCTGCGTATGCTGAGAACCAGGTGCCCAGCTTGCCTCACTGACTGCAGGGCTGGGTGGGACCATGTTTAGACCCATTCTGGAGATGGAAAAACCGAGGTTCAAGATGACTTCCACAGTTGGTGAGAGGGGGATGGAGGGCAGTCTGAGCTCCGATCAGCTCTTCTGCTGTAACACCCATAGCCCCACGGCTTGCACCCCTGGGTGCAGAGCTGGCCAGGATTAGGGGGCCACAGCTGGGTGGGTGGTTGATGTAAGATCTTGTGGGGTAGGGAGGCACCACAGGAGCCAGCATCGGGCAAGAGGGCCAGCTTCAGGCAAGGGGCTGGAGTGCTCTGGAGTGCTGCCCCCCTGGAGGGGACACAGAGGACCCTGCCCTGCCCAGAGTTGCCTTTGCTATCACCACCGCCCGGCAGTGCAGACACAGTTGGTCACACAGGGCATGCTCTGCCTGGGCCGGGGTGGGGCCCGTCCCTGCCCCTGCCGCCGCCCCGCCTTCCCGCTGCTTCCCTGCTCCCCTGCTCTGAGGAGGGCCCCAGCATTGTGCAATGTCCTCCTTGTCTCCCTGCAGTCCTGCAGGCATGCCTGGGCTGCTGGAGCTGCGGACCAGCTGCCCCGGGCTGGGGAGCTTTGGCTCCTCAGGTTGGGGCCATGCTGGCCGTGTCCCAGAGCCAGGCTTCGACCCTTGTGCAGTGAGCAGGCTCACTGGGAGAGGTGCTGGGTGGGTGCCACAGACCCTCTCTGCTCTTCTGCTTTTGTTCTTTTTCTTCACGTCCTGCCTCCGTCCCTCACAGGAGCCTCTCCTCCGACCTGGCTGTCAATGGGGATCTGGCTCAGCTGTCCACCTCCAAGCCACCTACTGACGTGAGTCCCGTCATTCCTGCCCCAGGCTGACCAGGGCCTTTAGTGTGGTGGGGGTCCCACTGTCTGTGTAGTTCAGAAGGGGAAACTGAGGCGCATGGACCTGCCCCAGGGCTGGCCACAAGGTCTGTCAGCTCCTAGCCCAGGGCTCCTGATCACCGCAGTGGGCAGGTGCGGTTCTGGCCCAAGGCAGTGCATTCATGAACGGCAGTTATGCTGTATAGTTCGACTGCGGGATATGCTGTTGGCACTGTGACCTGCAAGGTCCACTGCTCGCCTGGCAGAGACTGTGTTGGTCCATGGGAGGGAAGAGGAAGCTGGGAGAAGAGCCCCCTCCTCAGAGTTCAGAGTGGGAAAGCCTGTTTTCTGGGGCTCCTCTTCCATCCCCTCTGTACCTGTTTTCCAGAGTAAACCGTAGCGGGCTGGTTCTGGTTGCTTGGAAGTTCTTGCTGGCCAGTGGCCACCCCAGCCACCCTGGGATGGAGGCTGACTCTGCACATGTCCATCTCTCCCGTACTGGCTTAGTGCTTGCCATAAGCAGGTGTAGGGATGCAGCAGACACGGGGTCTCCTTAACCTCAAAAACCCTCCTGCCAAGGCAGGGAGGTGGAGGTGGGTATCCTCCTGCCTCAGCCTCCTGAATACTGGGATTATAGGTGGGCAGGGCCATGCCTGGCACCTGTGGGATCTATCTTGGCCATGCATGGGATGGATTCAGCTTGAGGAAGGTCACTTCGACCGTGAACGGAGCAAGCAGGTGTCTCGGTGAAGGAGCAGGTCCATCTGGGGGCTGGAAGCCTGTGGAGCAGGCGAGCGCTGCCAGGAGCCTCGGGGTGAAGATCGATGCCCTTGGTTTGGTTTGAAGATGGAAGAAACAAGAGCAGTTGGCCAGCGATGTCAGGGAACTGCGGGAGGGGCAGTGACTTGAGAGAGTGGAGGCTGTGCTGCTGCCCCCAGCAAGGACAGTGCCTGTCTGTGGAGGACACGGGGCGCAGTGTCCCCTACATGGCCTCTGTCCCTGGGGCATGGGTGCCTGGCTAGGAGCCAGGAGGGCCCCGGAGGGACGTGCAGGAGGTGACTGTCCTCAAGAGAGGGCGTCACCACGGGAAGAGGGCGGGCAGTGGGGAGCCACGAGATGGGTGGGGTTGGTGGGCCCTGCAGGGCGAGGCACTGAGGAAGGGGAAGAGTGGACGGAAGGGGACAGCGCCCACCCTGAGTGGAGCCGGGCACTGCCTTTGTTCCCCGAGGAACGCCTGGGGCCTTGGGCAAAGGTGGCTCGCTGCCGAGGCCGTCTTGGGTCAGAACACTGGGCCGTTAGTTGAAGGGAATCTCAGAGCTGCAGTTTTCAGGATGAAGGATTTGTAGGAGGTGCCTGTGGCTGGGCTTGAGGGGATCAAGACTGAAGGGCATGGGCTGGGGAGACAGAGTGTCACAGAGCTGGGGGCAGAGCCAGGGCTAGGCCCTCGGGGCCAACTGGACCTGGCCTGGAGCCCTGACCCGACCCGAAGGGGGCTGCCTTGGCCGAGTGACCAGGGCCACCTGTTCCAGGTCAGTGGCAGACGAGCAGGCCAAGGGGAGCCAGGGCCTGGTGCCCTCTGCCTCCTCCTTGGGATCACCCCCAGGTCCCACTGCCCAGCAGCAGAGAATAGCAGCGGTGCTGCAAGGTCCAGGTGGGGAAGTGGGGGCTGAGAAGCGGGGGTCCCTGCAGAGGGACCGTCCTACCTCTGCTGCTGTGGAAGGCACTGGACCCTGGGTTTAGAGTCCCCTCCCTCCCGGGTGACCTTCGGATAGGTGAGCTTTGGCTCGGCTTGTGGTGGAAAGAGTGGCCTGTTACCCGCCTGCAGGAGGTCTCAGGACCTAGAAGGTGGGGTATTGCCACCCTGCCCGTGATGGTCTCCAACTGCCTAGGCTTTGGTTTCTTGGCCCAGTTGTGGCTTGAGGTGTCTGGGGCTGGGGGTGCCACAGCCTGGTGAGCCACAACTGACATCTTGGACCTCTGTCTTGCAGGCTTCCGTCAAGGCCTGGGCCCCCTCCAGTCTGGGCTGCCCTGCAGATGTTGCTGGCCCAGTTCCAAACTCACCCCAGCCTCCTGCACTCCCCGAGAGCTCTCCCCAGCATGGGCAGCTCCCTGGAGCCCAGAGCCCTGCAGCTTCTCCCTGCCGTCCTGAGACACTCCAGTCCCTGAGCACTGCCCAGCCTGTGGCTGCTGAGGGCCTCTGCCAGTCCCCCAGCCGGGGGCTGCCCTCTGAAGCAGCCTCGGGACACCCCAGTCCTGAGCACCCCCTAGCCAGCCTACCTCGGCCCCTGATGGAGGCATGTGAGGTGCCAGAGCTCAGGACGTTTCCATCTGGGAAGGAGGTGGCCCCTAAGGGTGACTCCGAGCTCTGTCCCGCCAGCCTGGCTCAGCGCCGCTTCTCAGAAGGGGTCGTCCAGCCGCCTAGTAAGGACCCGGAGAGGTTGGGGGGCTCACTGGCCGCCCTGCCCCAGGCCCTGGGGAGCCAACTGGCCCTGGATCCTGCCTTTGGGAGTGGGACAGAGTCCAGCTGGAGCCTGTCACAGTCCTTCGAGTGGAGCTTCCCCACACAGCCCTCTGGCCTGGGCACTTGGCACCTGGACGCCCCGCCTCCCTCCCCCATTACTGAAGCCAGCGAGGCTGCTGAGGCTGCTGAAGCCAGCAGCTGTGCTATGTCCCAGCAGAGGGAGGTGGCCTGGGCCCCTCCGGGGGACGCAGGGAGACCTGTTTCTGGGGTTCAGGGGGAAGACCCTGGGACCTCCCCATCCCCTGAACCCCTGTCCACGTCAGAGGCCCCACACCTGCTGCAGGCTGAGGAAGGATCGGAGCCCCAGGAGCTGTCACTTGGGCAGGAGGCCCCTCTCCCTGCGGTCACCACAGAGGCCGCCCTGTCCCTGCTGGAGCCCATCCTGGGCCAGAGGCAGCCAGCACCCTCGGACCAGCCCTGTGTCCTCTTTACTGATGGCCCTGGCCCTGGCCAGGCGTTGCCTGTGGAGGAGGTGGTAACTTTAGTCCAGGCCGAGACCACGCAGCCTGAAACAGAGGCCCAGGACTGGCATCCGGCATCCCTGGAGCCTGAGGGACCTGGTGGCAGCTCTCACTGGCTAAACGAGCTTTTGGCCTCCCCACCGCTACCGAAGGATGAGCCGTCCCCAAGTGCCCGGCCCGAGGTGAGGATGTTGGGGTGTGAAGACCAGGCTGGGGGTGCCTTGTCCTTTTGGTGTGGACAGGGTGTGACGGGAGGTTGAGGGCAGCCATGAACCAGTGACTACATGGGATGGTGCCCGAGTTTAGCTGTGGTGCAGGTTCAAAGCCCGAGGCCTAAGTGGTGAGCTGAGGAGCTTGGAGAGACCCTTTTAAGTTTCAGGGGCCTATATTTCATTTCATCTGGGGGTTCTGGGGGTGTTCCAGGGCTGTGAGCCTGCTAGGCAAGTGGCCTGCACCAAGGCACTTCGGGCTCTTATGCTGGCATGCTGGTACACTTCGGTAATCCCAGCACTTGGGAGGCTGAGGCAGGGCGATCTCTGTGAATTTGAGGCCTGCCAAGACCACACAGTTCAAGATCAGCTTGAACTACATAGCTAGACTCTGCCTCAAAAGAGTGGCATTTGTCTCTCAGTGTTGCACTTCTGCAACGCAGAAGATGCCAGGTGGTGTGTGGGACAGTGCAGTCCACTGTTGTCAGAGTATTGTACCAGGAAGATTAAGCCAAAGGTTAGAGCTGGGCTCTGCCCCCAGTGGGCCTGCTGGGGTTTGTACCCTGGCTGTGCCATCTGTGTGCCTGTGTGACCTTGTGCGTGTGACATTGTCACCCTTGGCCATGGTGTCCATCTGTGAGACCAGGCGGCCGCCGTTCCCAGGAGTGCTCTGCCTGGCCCCTTTCTCCTGTAGGCTGCTTGAGGTTTCCCAGCACAGCTGGCTGGCAGGGGTGAGGCAGGAGAGCCGGAAGGGTTAAGACTCTGCAGTAGGTGTGTCTGTCCTGGGCAGGCAGTGACTCAACTGTGGCCTCTGGGCGGGGCTGGGCTGCTGGGCTGCAGCTGCTGGGCTCAGGGAGCAGAGCCAGGGCAAGGATTGGGGAGCCAGCAGTCGCCCGACAGGTCCTGACTAGGGAGCAGGGAGCGGCCCAGCTTCGTCCCACCCGCCGCTACTACCACCACCACTGCTGCAGCCGCACCCAGCAGCCCAGGGCAGTCGCCTGCCCGTGGGTGGAGGCCATGGCCGGGCCCGGGGACCCCGGGGAGGCCAGCATGTCCATCCTTCAGCGGCTCCTGGCCAATGCGGCCCTTCGGGATGAGGCAGGCAGGCTTCGAGGCCCCGAGCCGAGGACCGGCCCACTGCGGTCAGGGGTGAGTGAGGGAAACTGTGGGGGCAGCCAGCCCAGTGCCCACGGCAGCCCTGTGAGCCAAGAGTGCAGAGGGGTCCTGGAGCGGCCTTGGGGTTGGGCTGAGAGCCCAGCCTGCTCTGGGGAGCTGCAGAGAGGCCGGGCGTCATTGGTCCTGGGGGTAGACCTCTCTCCCCGGGCAGGGAGCCAGGAGTTGCCCAAGGCCGTAAACATGACCCCGGGGCCACAGTGAAGTGCCTGTTGGTGCCAGGCCTGTGTGGGCGTGCCACTCAGGGGAGCTCGTTTGCGCTGTGGGACCTGTTCCTAGTGAAGCCGGTGAAGGCCGAGGACCCTGAGGCTCAGAGTAGTTGGGCCTTTGGCGATGTGCTGACCATCACACAGCTGGAACCCAACCCTGGGCCCAGGCGGACAGGCAGTCTGACTTCGCCCTGCATGGATTCCTGCTCTGATTACCTCTGAGCATTGTTTCTTTGTGTTTCTTTTTGTTGCTCCCAGGGACTCCTTGGCTGGGCCCAGAAAGATCTACGGAGTGAATTTGGGATCGCAGCAGACCCCTACCCCAGCAACAAGGGGCCTTCTGGTTGGTCCCACATTGCTCCTCAGGACTGCAGCCATGGGGGCGCCCACCCCAGGGGAGACTTGGTCCTGGGGGGCCAGGCCTGGGCTGGTGTGTGTGGTCCAGGAGCCAGGGAGGGGAGTGAAAGGGAGTGGGCTGATGTTGGCAGCAGCCCACCCCTGAGCGACATGTGCGCCCCAGAACAGCTTGATGCCCACGACCGGGTGGCTGGAACGCCAGCCCTGCTGAGCACCCAGAGCTGGGAGACCAGTGCCCAGGACCAGGAACTGGGGAACAGGGACCCCCGGGACACGGTCTCTAGCCGGGATGCAGAAGTCCAGGACCAAGAACCAGGGAAGAGGGACCCCCGGGACACAGTCTCCAGCCGGGATGCAGAAATCCAGGACCAAGAACCAGGGAAGAGGGACCCCCGGGACATGGTCTCCAGCTGGGATGCAGAAATCCAGAACCAGGAACCAGGAAAGAGGGACCCCTGGGACACAGTCTCCAGCCGGGATGCAGAAATCCAGAACCAGGAACCAGGGAAGAGAGACCCCTGGGACACAGTCTCCAGCCGGGATGCAGAAATCCAGGACCAAGAACCAGGGAAGAGGGACCCCGGGGACATAGTCTCCCATTGGGAGACAGAAGCCCAAGATCAGGAACTGGGGAAGAGGGACACCCAGGACATGGTTTCCCATTGGGATGCAGAAGTCCAAGACCAGGAAGGAGGGGAGAGGGACCCCCGGAACACATTCTCAGGTCTCTGCGCAGAGTCCCAGGACGCCCAGGACCGGGAGTTTGGGAAGAGGGACTCTCTGGGCATCTGTGCCAGCCATGAGCCCAGCCTTTGGGACTGGGACTTTGGGGTGAGAGATTGTCTGGGCGCCCGTGCCCACCAGGCCCCAGGGGCGCAGGCACTTGAGTCAGGGAACGAGCAGCGCTGCAGCTACAGCAGCCAGGACACCGAGGCGCAGGACCGGGAGTTTGAGAAGAGGGACTCCCAGCACAGTGCCTTCGACTGCCGGGCAGGAATGCAGTGGGACCAGGGGCTCGGGCCGAGTTCCTGGATGCAGTGCGGTGACAGTGACTGCGTGCAGGATGGGGGCTTCAGCCCACAGGGAGCCCGGCAGCCTCAGGAGTTTGAGATAACCTCGAGCGGCCAGGATACTTGGGCTGTGGACCGGCCAGAGGAGCAGGGCACCGGGGGGCAGCTCAGCCCCAGTGCCCCCCGACTGCAAGGAGACCAGGGCGGTGGGCTAAGTGGTGACAGCAGCCAGCAGGTGGCAGGGCCTGTGGGCCCTGGGGATGGGGACACCGGGAAACGAGGATGGGCTGGTGAGTTAAACCTGGGTGTCACTCCGCAGCTGGAGACGTCTTTGAGCCCAGGGCTTCGTGATTGGAGGGAGGACTCGCACCAGGAGCCTACCATGAGGACCTCCCAGTTCGGCATCATTGGTGATGACCGAGGGAGCAGTGCCAGCCCGAGCCCCCCCATCAGTGCAGGAGGTGGCAACCTTGTGTCCCCTGGGGAGATGGTAGCTGGTCCTGTGGGCTGGGCTGACCAGCTGGGTCTCAGGAACTTGGATCTGTCCCGCTGCAGGGCCTCGGGGGGCTTGGCTGAGGCCAGAGAGGTGGCTGTGGGCCAGGTAGGCTGGCCGGATCATCAGGGCATGCAAGATAGTGGCCCGGCCAGCTGCTCAGAGGCGCAAGGGTCTGGGGAGTGTGTTGGGGTTGGTGTAGATGAGCAGGCTTGGACTGTGGACCATCGAGTACAGAGTTTGGCTGGGGTCAGGGAGCCTGGAGGCTGCAGCCTGGCCAGAGAAAGTGGAGTGGGGCAGACGGACTGGTCGGGTGTGGAGGCCAGCGAGTTTCTTAGGTCCAGGGAGCGTGGGGTAGGACAGGCAGACTGGACTCCCCACCTGGGGCTTGGGGACATGGACCCCAGGGTAGCCTGCAGCCCCGGGGAGCCCAGAGAGCTGGTAGGGAGCCTGGGGAGCTGGCGGGATGACCTGGGTCTGAGGAATTTGGAGGTGTCCTGTGTCCCAGAGTCGGGGGGTTCCCGGAGTTGTGGAGTGGGCCAGGTAGACTGGGCCCACGATAGAGGGCTCCAGATTGACAGGTTCCCTGGGGTCCCCAGTGAAGCCAGAGAGCAGGGAGTAGGGGCAGCAGGGCCTGGCCCAGAGCCCAGCTTCAGGAGCAGTGGGAGCTCGTCCCCCAGCTTGGAGGCAAGGGAATCAGGGGTCGGCGAGACCAGCGGGCCAGAGAGCCAGGGCGGAGATGGCCTGGCGCCTTCCTCAGAGATGCAGGCTGCGGACTCTGGAGCAGAGCCAGGTGGAGCGGCCGGCCTTGGACCCAGGTAAGGGGCATCTTGGGGTGGGCACGGGGAGGCTGCAGTAGTCTTTCCCTTTGGACTTTTCACGTTGGGTGGACGCTAACCTTCTGGCTGTGAGGGTTCTGCTTTTCAGACTTGGTGTTGAGGTGGGACACATACAGGCATGAGGCATGTTTGGGGCATGGACCGTCTCACCAGGCACCACTCAGGCCTCCTGGGTGAGGTGGAGCCTAGTGGGCTCTGCTCTGGGAAGCCACAGGTGCCCCTAATACAACAGTTACACGAGGACCCTGCCCCTCCTGCCTCAGGACCATGAAGGTGGCCTCCATTTTCTTCCAAGGTTAAAGAGGCAGCAGTCCTGAGCCCCTGGGGCAGCCGTGCAAGAGCCCAGGGCAGTGGGGTCCAGCTGAGGGAGGGCGTGGCAGAGCAGCCGCACAGCAGCACTCCCCACATCTCAGCCTACCTTATGGGTGCTGGCACCAGCTGCCATGGTGGCTTTGGGCCTCCTGGAGAGGCTGTGACAGCACCTCTTCTGCTAATGTCTCCACCCCAGAGGCCTGTTCCCCTCCAGCGAGTAGGAGGCTGGCAGAAGCCCCAAACCCTGGAAACCCTGGCCCGAGGGGAGGGCAGGTGTGGCAGGGGCTGCACTGCACAGGCCACATGGGAGTAGGAGGGGGCCGGGGGGAGGCTGGGGCGCCAGGACTGCGGGGCGGAAACCGAGAGCGCTGGGACCAGGCTGTTCCAAGAGCTTGGGTTGGTTAGGTCGGGCACAGGGCTAAGGCAAAGCTTCAGAGCTTGCAAACAGCATTGGTCTGTGGAGCTTGGTTGGCCTGCCCCCCTCACTGCACCCCAGCTGTCCTGAGAGAGGACTCCGCCCCAGTTGAGGGCATGGGCCTGTCAATGGCCCAGCTTGTCTGCCCACTGTGGGCTGGGCCCGAGGGTAAGGGCCCAGGAAGTGTGGACAGGGTTCCGAGGTGGCTGTGCCTGCCAGTGGACTCTGGCATGGGGATTGGTGTAACCCTGTGTGCTGTCAAGGCCTACCTGGTAAGGATGCAGGTGGTGAGGCCCCAGGTGCACCCCATGCTCTTGGTTGCCTTCCCTGTGACCTGGAGCAGCCCTGTCCACTCCACAGGGACTCAGGGTCTTCAGTGCAGGTCACATGGTTCCTGGACGGAGCTGTGGGGCAGCTAAGCAGGGGAAGCCACACCATGGAAAGTTCCTCTCTAAGGGAGGTCCGGCAGCCTCCCCCAGCAGGAAGTGCTGGAGATTGGCTTGGGGCAGTCTGGCTCCAGCCCAGCTGCGCCCCGGCCTCTGAGACCTCAGGCAAGTGCCTTCTCCTCCCAGGCCCTCGCTGTAAGTTAGGGGCACTTTGCACCTAGTACCCATGGCATTTTTGGTGGAGACTAAAGGTGAATGCCTATAAGTGACAGCTGCAGATCTCTATGGCTTGTGTTCATCACCGAAAAAGTGTTAGCCACACCTATTTGGGTCTGTTTTAGAGTTCAGTGCTGGTGTCCCTAAGTGAGGCCCTCAGGAGTTTTTCTTTTGTTTTTTCTCTTTCTTTTCAGACAGGATATTGCTGTGTAGCCCAGGCTGGCCTCGAGCTCATAGCAGTCCTGCCTTAGCCTCCCCAGTGCTGGGTTTGTAGGCATGTGCCACCACGCCTGGCTCCTTGGGGATATTTTTCTTATTGCCCTCATGTGGGACAGAGAATGCTTGATGATAACATCATCTGACACAGCTGAACCCAGGCTGGAGCAGAGGGTGGGTCGGAAGTGCCTGGTCCCCTCCTCTGCTGGTCTCCTGTTCTTCCAGCACCTGCCCTGGGCCCCACGGTGCAGAGGTGACAAGCATTTCCCCAGGGTGCCCCACACTCCTTTCATGTGGGGCACTGAGGCCTGGGGCCCTGTGACTTGTGAGTTCCCAGGCTTGGACCCTGCACACCCTTGCTCCTTGCCCAGGCCTTGCCCCTCCATCCTGGTCACAGGAAACCACAGCTCTGCAGATCTCTGTGCAGCTGGGGTGGGGGTGGGGCAGTGCAGGGCCAACACCCAGTGTCCAGGGTCAAAGAGGAGCTGGTACTGAGGAGAGGGGTTCGTGGTTCCCCTTACAGGGTGCAGGTCCCCCTGCAGTGCCCAGGCTCCAATGGCCCCTGTCTGGGAGGTCATGGAGGGCTCTGCTGGACTTTACTCTCCACCTCTTTCCCTGCCAGGAGGCCCCACTCAGCCAGCAGGCGGGGTGCTGGGATGTGCAACGTCATGCCCCTCTACTAACCTCTGTCCTCCTTGCTGCTTTGGGGTGACCTGGTTGTGGCCCCTGCCAGCCTGCGCCCTCCTCCTTGCAGCACTGGTTTCCCTGGGTCAGCAGCTGGGGAGACAAGACCTCCCCCCCACGCTGGCCCTCCTGGCCCTCTCCCTGAGTGTGTTGCATTGACTCACCTGAGTGCATGTAGGAGAGGGTTCGGGTGGGTGAGGTGTTAGGTGTGAGGTCGCAGCAGGCAAGACGCCATGCAAGCTGTGTGGAGGGTGAGCAGACCTCACTGTGCTAGGTACCTGGACGGGGAGTGGGAACCAGGAGCGCCAGAGCCGAGCTGGGGTGGGGCCTCCATGCTGTCCAAGGAGGGACCGGGTGTTGGGGAGCTTCCCAGGTCCCACCAGCTTGTGCAAGGCTGGCAAGTGTGTTTGGCCCACTTCCCCTGGCCATGGTCCTGTGAATCTAGGGGAGAAAAATACCGCATTGCCCAGCACTTGAGAGGCTGAGGCAGGAGAATTGTCATGAGTTCAAGGCCAGCCTCAACTGCATAGTGAGACCCTGTCTCAAAAATGAAAAACAAAACAAAACAAAACAAAAAACCAGAGAGGCCCAGCATTGGGGTAAGGGCTGAACATGATATAGGTGGGGTGGGCACCTGAGGCCCCCAGGTGCCCTTGATGCTCCCCAAGGACTGACATGCAGCTGGGGCCCGGAGCAGGGCAGTGGCTGACTCTTGAGAGACAACCTGGACGAGAGGATGCCTGGCCCGTGAGGGATGGGTCCCCTGGCAGTCGCTCAGATCGGTCCCCTTTCCCCCAGCAGGTGTCTAGCTTACTCCCCACCCCCTGATGCCCAGGGCCTGCCAGAGGGACCGCTGGTGACCGATAGTGCCAAGGCACTGGCCTCCCGGGAATCGTCAGCCTCCTGGTCCAGCATCCTGCTGGAGCAGGCAGGAGCCGTGGCAAGTGATGACCAGGGGGAGTCCGTAGAGCCGAGTGGGGAACCCCTGCCCAGCCGGAGGTCCCAGCCAGATGGCAAAGCCAGCTGTGTGGAGGAAGTGGATGGCACCTGGGGCCTCGCAGAGTCTGGGCTCGGGGAGCAGGGCCCGACGCTGAGCCCCCGGCGGCCACCCCAGGGGCCTCCAGCCAGCGGCCCCAGCCAGGACTTTTCCTTCATCGAGGTCAGTGTGGAGGCCCGCCTGGGCAGGGGCGGGCAGGAGGCAGGGGCAGGAGCGTGACGGGCGTCGCTCTTGTCCCCACCAGGACACCGAGGTCCTGGACAGCGCCATGTTCCGGAGCCGTGCCTCCCTGGGCCGCAAGCGAGGGCACCGGGCCCCGGCCATCCGCCCTGGGGGGACCCTGGGACTGGCGGAAGCCGCGGGCTCGGACGCGCGCCTCTTCCAGGATTCATCAGGTAAGATCGCCATGCGCGTGACCGCTGTGCGCATGACGCCGGGTCTGTGTCCAGGGGCGCGGGCCTTGGGGTGGTTGGGGCTTCCCTGGGTCTGCTGCACCATGACCGCCCTCCCCGCCCCTGCAGAGCCTCGGGCGTCCCGGGTGCCGTCCTCGGACGAGGAGGTGGTAGAGGAGCCGCAGAGCCGCCGCACACGGATGACCTTGGGCCACAAGGGGCTGAAAGTCAACCTCTTTCCGGGCCTGAGCCCCGCAGCCCTGAAGGTAGCATGTGGTCCCCGGCAGCCACCAGGCGGGGCTCCCGTGTCCGCCTATCTGCTCTCTGCGCCTCTCCAGCCTGTCCTCTTCTCCATCACCCCGCTGTTCTCAGAGGGCCCCGAGCGAGGGCCTGTGTGTTCCTGTCCTAGACCCTCGGGGACGTGGGTGTCCCTGGGCAGGGCCTGGCAGGAGGGAGGGTGCTGGCAGGCGTCCGGCCCTGGCGGCCAAGGGAGTTTGAGGCTTGGCTGTGACCACCGTGGTGGTCAGGCCCGCTGTGGATGCGCTGTCTATCAGGGGCCTGGTGCTCCTGTGACCCCGCACCCCTGCTCATTGTCCCTGCCCGGCTTCTCCCGCAGGCCAAGCTGCGCTCCCGGAACCGCTCGGCTGAAGAGGCGGACCCGGCAGAGGGCAAGGGCGGCCAGAAGGAGTCTGCTGTGCAGCGCTCCAAGTCCTGCAAGGTCCCAGGGCTGGGGAAGCCCCTCGTATTGCCCCCCAAGCCAGAGAAGTCCTCAGGGTAGGTGATGGGACTCCGGGCTTCTGGGATGACTTGGGGTTAGCCTAGGGGGGTAGCCCTGCTTCACAGCAGAGGGAAACTGAGACCATGGTTATGGTCAGCCTGCCATAGTGCCCCCTCTCCGCTGGGGAGACCCCATCCCTGTCCCTGGAGTTCATCTCCCAGACTGGCCCTCTGCCTCGCAGGTCTGAAGGGTCCTCGCCCAACTGGCTGCAAGCCCTGAAGCTGAAGAAGAAGAAGGTGTGAGGGCCGCAGGTGAGGCCCTGCCTGGGGTTGGGAGGCTGTACACCCTCCTTCCAGGCTGGCTGGCACAGAGGAGAGATCCAACTCTCGGGGTGGGTGGGAGGAGCCCCAGCAAGGTGGGCTATGGGCTGAGGAAGCAAGGCCCCGGCTGCCCCCGACTCCAGTCTCTCTGCCTGCAGGTCTCCCTCAGAGTCTTGGGCCTGGCTAGTTCCTCTGGGGTCCCTGATCCGGAACCCGCCGCAGCCTCTGTTCCCTGGCCTCGGAGGAGTGCTGGGGACAGGTTTATGCACTTTGTATCGCCTCCCTCGACCCCACCCCACTCGCCTCCCACCTGGCCCTGCCTCTGCCGCAGGGGTCGAGGGTCTGGCCCCTCCTCCCTCTGCCACTGCCTCAGCCTCCCGTGGGATTTTTGATACCGATTTCTAGTTTTTATAAAGGCCTTCAATTTTTGTAACGGGTGAAGCTTCCCTGCCCCTCGAGGCGCCTTAGGGAGACCAATGACGTTTTGCCACTTGAAACATTCAATAAAGCATTTTGGGAATCCGTGCTGCCCACCACTATGTTTGGAGACACGTGCAACTGGCACCCACCTTGTCTGTGACCCCTCCGTCCCATCCAGAGTCCCTGCAGAGGGTGCCTTGGTCCCACCCCTCTCTCCAGCCAGACCTGGAAAGGTCGGCACCATGGTACAGCCCATGTGGGTCAGTCATGGGGGACCCAGGCTCCTAACCTGTGGAGACCTAGCCATCTTCTCAGCTGTCTTCCAGGTGCAGTGTCAACAGGGCGGGGTGCAGAGGAGGAGGTGGGGTCGGGTGGGATGTCATTCTCAAGCTGCCCTGCCAGGACTTCAGTCCAGTGCCTGGACCACAGCAAAGGCATCCTGTGACCGGAAGCCCCAGGTCAGAGCTGGGCAGGTTCTGAGTTGGGCAGGGCCTTTGCTGGCTCGTGGGTGGTCATTGTCACTAGGTCCCGAGGAGAGGGCTGGACGGCTGTCTGGGGCTGCATCCAGGGCACTGGTCTCACCCTGAGGCCAGGGTGTGAGCCCATCACCCCCTACCAGCGTGGGGGCTGGGACCTCAGTGTGTATGGCATGCAGATCCTGGGCTGTAGCCTTCCCTGTCCAAAGCTCTGTGACCCCGAGTCAGCATGGGGAGTGCAGGGCAGAGGCACAAGACAGACGTCCCTCAGGGATGAAAATGGGCCTTTCAGGTAAGGGGAACGTGGGTGGAGGCTGCCTGTCTGAATTCATGGGGTCCCTACCCTCGCTCTCTGGCCGAGATGGGCACTATGTGGTCCCCAGCTAGGGTGACATTGTGTGTCCCAGGCTGGGGCAGCCACTGAAGCCCTGTCCACATCTGGCCCCCAGGGTGGCACCAAGGGGGCAGTGGCACTGGGCAGCACGTATGCAGGCCTACGGTTTCAACACAGGTGCCCTGGGGGCAGGCCGCCATCCTTGGCATGCCCAGTTCAGGCTCCTATATGCTGATGCAAAGGGAGACTGGGAAAGGTGCTTCTGCCCAGACACCTCAGCCTTGCCCGCTCCTGTCCGCCTGGCTCTGGTCTGCTCCATGCCCACTCCGGGCAGGCGGCATCCCCTATTCCCAGCCTAGGGCTCTGCTGTCGTGGTTTCCCCAGACTCTCCATCCTGTGTCAGGGCCAGGACCACGCCTTAGCCTAAGAATCTCGGTCTCTACTGACCTTGCATCTCATTTACCCGTATCTATGCCTTTTATTTTGGTTTGGTTCGAGATAAGGTCTCACTGTGTAGCCCAGGCTGGCCTTGAATTTGTGGTGATCCTCCTGTCTCAGCCTCCTGGATGCTGGGATAATAAGTGTGCACTACCAAACCTGGTCTGCCTTTTGAGTTTTAAATATGAGTATGCGGTTGTCTGTCTAACTGGAGAATCTCATCCAAGCCAAGGGCCTCAGCCAGGTGCACAGATGCAGTTTCCCAAGCCTGCCCGGAATTGGTCATCCAGTTCCTGGAGGCTGTGATCTTCCCTGGGGAAGCACCCTTCTGGGTGCTTATTCACAGTGCGTGGCACCTCGGCAGGCCCCGGCCTGGGAGGTAGGCTGGGAGTTTGCATCCTGGGAGGTCCCTTAGGTGGGGAGGAAGGCATGGGCTGCGTGGGTGCCAGGGATTGTGCTCGGCTCCAAGCCCTGCAATGTGGGCTGTGCCCTGTCCCCTCCCCGAGGAACTGGGCTGGCCACGGCCCAAGCTAAACACCTCAGGCTCATTAATGACGATGATGGCGGTGGCTCAGGAAGGCTGGGCTGGCTCTTGTGGGCCGGGCTTCCTACCCTCGCCCCATTCATCCAGGGAGTGATTTAGAGCTTTTGTCTTGGGTCTGAGGCAGAGAGGGGTGACACACACACTGTCATGCACACACATACATGTATACATTCGCGCACAGTCATCGGCCATCAAGGCCAATGCAACCCTTGGCTTGGGTGGGGCTCAGGCTTCTCCGGAGCAGCCTCCGGTTTTGGGAAGCTACTGGACGCTTGCATGGAAGGACCCTGGACTACCTAGCAGGCTGGTCTGTTCCTGTAGGTGGCAGCCAAGCCCAGAGAGCCACTCGGAAGGCAGCAGCTTGCCAACTTCCTCACTGCCTGCCATTCCTCTCCCTGCAGGACAGGGTGGGGCTGTCAGCGGCGCCTGTGGTATCTTCTGCTGTGCCTGCTCCTTTACAGTGTCTGGATGGGACCGGGGGCCATCACACTGAGCACTTGTTCAGTTTTCTATGACAGGGTCTCACTAAGCTTTGCAGGCTGGGCTCAGACTTTTGTCTTCCGTCTTGGGGCACCTATGTAGCCCTCAGAGATCCACCTGCACACTAGGCGAGGGAAGTCACTGTGTGCTGGGCCTAAGTTGCCCTGATGCTGTCCACATCCAGTGATCCAGGAGCCAGAGTTGGCATCTGGGCGCAGGAACCAGCCTGTGACTGGCCATGGCCTCAGTGTCCAGTGGGGTGGGGTGGGGTAAGGCAGGGTGGCAGGGTGTCACTGGAGGGCTTCAGAGGTGCCACCACAGTTAGGTGCTTCTCCCCAGTGTCCTGTCCCTCCAATGTGGCCCTGTGCCCTGCTCTGGGGCAGTATGTCTAAGAGGGCCAGGGGCCCCCAGCGTTAATCGGAGCCTCCCTGAGCCTCGAGAGGGGCAGATATGGAAGGTGGATTGCGATGAGGCTATGATCCAGGGGCTGCTGAGGTCCAGATGCCATGCCCTGGGACACAGCCTGGCCTAGCATCCTATTCCCACAGACAGAGGACCACAGTGGGCGCAATTTTCTTGGGGCCAACCCGCCCCTCCCCAGCTCACCTGGGGGCGCCCTTTGGCCTTTTCTCCTGCCCCTAAAGTACCCCTCACAGTGGGGTTGGGAAACCCACTGGCAGCCTGCAGGGCTCCCCACCCCCCTGGGGACAGTGCCAGGCCAGCGGCTAGAGCTGCCTAGGAGTGAGTGATAAAGTGGATTTTAATCGCTGCCCAAGGAACAACTCTCATTGTGTTATATTTATATAGCACTTTGCCTCCAAGGGTCCAGCACCCATTCATTCATTCATTTATTTTTTATAAAAGCAACATTTATTGAATATTTGTCTGATGACAAAAGCCAAGCAGATTGATTGTGGAGCACTTGGAAAGTAAAGAAAGCAGAATGGGGGGGGGGGGAAGCTGTCTGGAGCCTCACTTCCAGAGGCACCACCACTGACTTTTGTTCAGAAGGGGACTCAGGATAGATTTAGATTTGCACAGGAGCTGAGATGGTCAAATAGTGCCCACCCCTCACTCCCATTCCCCCAAGTGTTAATGTTTTCTGGTCAGTGCATATGTTTGTCTCATGAAGGAAACAAAATAGCAATAGATTATTGTTAAATAAAGTGCATAGTTTATTGAATTTCTTTAACTTCTATATTTTTCTTTTGGTTTTCTGTAACAGGGTCTCACAGTGTAGTCCATGCTGGCCTTGAACCTGTAGCAATCCTCCTGTCTTAGCCTCCTGAGTGCTGAGATCACAGGCATACACTACCACGCCCGGCTATTTCTTATTTTCAGGGGAGGTCCTGGCCAGGGCCTCACACATGCCAGGCAAGTGTGCTACTATCCAACTAATAATGTCCTTTTTTGTTTTGTTTTTTTGAGGCAGGGTCTCGCTATGCAGTTCAGGTTGGCCTTGAGCTCACTTTGTAACCCAAGGTGGCCTCAAATTTGCAATGATCCTCCTGCCTCAGCTTCCTGAATGTTGGGATTACCAGTGAGCATCACCATACCTGGCCACATTTTTGTTTTAAAGATTGCCCCAGGATTCTCCCTAGGACCCCGCATGATGTGTTCCCATCATGTCTCTGTGGGTGGCCCTTGACCTGCAGTGTCTCAGGCTTTCCTTGTTTCCAATGACCTTGACAGTTCAGAGGCACTGCAGAGGGCTCTGGCGCTTGGGAGGTGAGGGCAGCAGCTGTGTGCCCACTGTATCTGTCCCAGCTGGGGCACAGGGTATCTCCGTGGCTGGCTTGACTGACTCTCACCTGGTCAGTCAGACGGGTGAGTGCTGGCTGCTTTCCCCAGGGTGAGGCTGTTCTGTCCTCCAGGCCACTCTGCTCTCTTGGGGAGGAAGTCACTGACTGCTGTAGGTGTCACGAGTTTGCTTCCAGTCCAACCCTACACACACACACACTCCTCACACACACCCCGTCCCAGAATGCATGGGTTCATCTGGGTGTTCCTTAAGGACCAAGCCCCCGGCCTGGCTCTACCTGGCCGCTCTCCCTGCCTTGTTTTTGGCAGTGTTTGCATGTTGGCACAGGGCACCTCTCCAAACTGGTCTACGCTTTGGTTTCGTTATTCATTAAAAACAAAATCATGCTACACTGACTCTTTGCCAGGCACTTGCCTGGGGCTGTCACCATTGGAGTTGGCCGAGTCCTTGTTGCTGGGATACGGGCCTGACACCCATGATTTAGAGGAAGAGAGGTTCATTTTGGCTCATGGTTTAGAAGTTTCAGCCTTTACCTTGTTGGGCATCTCTGAGGCAGAATGCCAGAGCAGAAGGTCATGATGGGGGTGAGCTGCTCGCAATGTGATGGGCAGGAAGTAGAATCCAGGGAGGAGCCAGAAGGGATGATGTCCTTCCGGGTCACGCGCATGGTGACCCCAGCCCTAACAGCAAGTCAGCCATGAGCCCTATGATGCAATCACCTTCCCAAAGCCCCACTTCTGAGTGCATGAGGCTGGAGGCGGGGCGCCCAGGTATGAATCATAACAGGAGGGGTGCTGCTGTCTTTGCAGTACAGTTTATTCAGGGGTTAGCAGTCTGAAAGTGGCTGGAGATGGAATTCAAGAGCCCAGAGGTCACTCACCCCTGGCCAAGTGTGACCAGACTGGCCCTGGACATCCAAAGAGTGGGGTTCAGAGACAGGAGCAACTTCAGGGAGTCGTTTCACTGTGCCTCAATTCCCTTCCTACCCTATGGGGCACTCACACTGCTTTCCTCCCAGGGCTGCAGCAGCCTTAAATTGTCTAAAATAGAGCTTGGCTCAGGGCAAGC